TTCTCCTTGCGAGCCTGCTCGTCAGGAACAGAGCCGGCAAACTGATGAGTGTGTGATTTTCCTCCAGAGAGAGAGAGAAGGAACCACAGGGGGAAAGAGTAACAAGAGTGACTTCAGTTCAAAGACCCTCTGTAAGGTCAGAGTGAGAGAAGAGTAGAGCAAGAATTAGGAAAAAGCACCAGAGGCGGAGAGACAGGAGGGAAGGGAGGGGTTGGGAAAGCAACAGAGAGAAAGACAAGGACGGAGGGGGGAAAGAGAGATGTGATAACAAGCCATAAAGGGTTCCATTGAGGCACTGGGTGAAAGGAAAGATGATATCATGCGAGGGAGAAATTATCCCTTTGTTAGGCGTTTGTGAATTGGCAGAATGGGGGCAAGGCAATTGGCAGAGAACCCCCCAGCAAGGTGGCACCCACCCTAAGCTACGACAACACCCTGCTAACCTGCTTCCTCTACACCTAACTGTACAAGCCGTCCTCCTCCATCAAACACAAGAAGCTGCTGCTTTGACAAGTTGATCTGAACATCAATTACACATCCACCTGGAAAGGAAAGAGCAAGATGTTGAACGGGGGGTGCATATATATAGGCACAGTCGCACAACAGCGAACAAAAGAGCTTTCCACGCGTGTAACTCATGCACAGGGAGCAGAAAGGTAGAGACATGCACCGCAGCGGAGGACACAGTGAGTGGAGAGTCTTGGCCTGTCACTGGGAGGTATGATGACACACAGATAATGGGTGTTGCTCCCAGCAGGTCACTGTGAAGCATGTGGCTCGCAGCACACACAGAAACACTCATTAGGAGGCTCATGCTGTACCTTCTCTACTTGGCAGGTAACACTGTTTGCATTTATCTTACTGAATAAGGGATGGCTGAGCTTAGCGTTCTGTTGCATCCCAATGGGGGGCATTGCATGGTTCTGCATAATGTAATATGCCTGTAATGCCTTCTCATACATGTCTTCCTAGGAAAGAATGTATGAGAATAGCAAGAGTACAGTAAAGTGTCATGTCTGCATTACAAAGCTTTCAGCCTTGTCGGACTATATGCTTAGCCTCGTTTCCTGCTGTTCTCTTTATCTTGGCGAATGAGGATACCTGCAGCTACCTATAATCACTGACTGCTAGTGTGACAGATGTTATTCACCCTAGCAATAACTTTTCTGGAGCCCTTTTCCCACATAAGCAGAAGTATCTACCCATGTTTTGTTATTTTCTGTTCAAGCTAAAAGGCACAATGTCAACGATTTTGTCCCTGATGTGTCGCAGTGGCTTTGACTCAATATAATTCCTGCTGTGCTCCGCATTAGTCATTCACAATTCAACCCTGTCAAAATACATATACTAATTTGCTTTGCCAATTACGTTTTGTGGGGAAAGTAATTGCTGTGGTGATTACATTTAGTGGCAATGTTTTCCAGTCCAGGAGGTTTGACTGTCTTAAACAGCACAGAAGTCACATGGGGGAAGGTAGGGTCGACGGTTGCAGAGCAGAGGGACTTTGACACATGGAGATGAGGGTTTTACTTCTGTTTAGAAAATGTGATTTGGTTTTGTGGTATATGGATAGCTTTAATATAAATCTGATTGCATGCCTGGAAAGAAATAAGCTCATTTGTGCCAAGTTGGTTAATTTCCAGACACTATCTTGTTTGAACAATTAGCAGGAGTTATGTTTTTGACCTGAAAGTCTCAAAACCTTTTCCCCACTGACACAAAAGAGGATTATTCCCCAGCATTTGATGTGAGGAGACAAATGGCACCTCTTACTCATATTATGTATGGCCCCAAGATGGAAACATTTCAGTTGTTTCTTCCGGATGAAATCATGTTTCACATATCTGGTGTTTACTGAATATCTGCTCTATCTGATAAAGCAAATTCATGACTGATAGTTCAACGAAAAGCATTTCTATTTAAGCATTGAGCTTTAATTAGCTCCATCCTCCTTGAACAGAACTGTCACATGAGTGTTTTGTTCTGATACGCCTGCTTGATTATTTGCTAGAATAATTTGCTAGAATTTACTAGAATTGTCCCCTTAAGTGCACAGTTAATGCAGGGTAAATGTGTATTGGGGATGAGCCTAATAGGATGTCCACAATGGGTATTATGGCAGCTTTATTGTATTTTCTTCCACACTGTAAAACCAGTGAAGGGACACTGCCAAGTCTCCTAGTTTCCTGTAGAAAAAGGTGGTATGTACGCAGGCTTATATCACACTGCCTGCTTATATATTCACATCCAAACAATGTGATTTCTTAGGAATTCAAATGTCTGTTTGGGATTCTTGTTATCCTGTCATGATGTGACATATTGACTTGTATTTATTTGCCAAGCTCCACTGTCAACAGACTGTGGAAAATAAAGAAAATTAAAACGTTGTAATCCCGTGTGGTGTGAAGGAAGACGATTGGTGTCAGCCGAAATGTACCCAAATGATTCGGCCACATTGATCCCTGTGCCCAGGAGCATGAGGTGAACAGGAAGTAGCCTGAGCCCAGCCTTTAGAAAATGCAGTCACTGATAGTGTTCATAGATCGAGGAGCTGTGACTTTTCTAATTAGAGAGTTCAGAGCGAACCCAGTTGGATTAGCTTGGCTCTAGGCCAGCTATTAACACCCAGTCAGACAAACAAGAAATCAGAAAGAAGAGAGGGGAAGGAGAGCAGAATGGCAAGGAGGGGCTAAACATACCAATCGTTATGTGAGTGCACTTAAACCAGGGTCAAATTACTTGTTGTTTTAAGAAAAAGTGGCTTATAATTTGGTAGTTCTGATGTTCTCATTATAGTGTGTCCAAAATCAAGAACATTGTTTTTTCAGTATCTTGATTACACTGAGAGACAATGCGGACAGTGAAGATAATACATTCCTGTGAGTGTTAAAACTTTGTGGTAGTCTGGGACTTAGTGGCAGACTAATAAAACCAACGTTATAAAAGAAAACTTTGAACTACTGTTTGAATTGAACTCGTAATATACACAATCTATATTCATGCCCATTTATATGTATGAGTCGCCATGCCCACGTTAATTCAACTAAATACTTGGATGTTCACTTGTGCTGAAACACCCTGGAGGACATGTTCGTTTGATTTATCTTTACCTTTCAGGAACATCTGCCCTCCTTCCCACTTTGCCAGCTAATAAACCCTCGAGATTGCCGCCTACACAGACACATATACATATAACCCCCACAACACTCGAACGCACACACTGCACACACATTCTCCCAACCCACTCTCCCGCACAACCTCAAGGGAGACATACGTAATAAATTCAACACTTCCGCTTACCCAAGAAGTGCCTTAAGGACAAAGAGAAATTTAATCTTGGATAAGCCTCCCGATAGAATCTCTGCATTAGCCCTCTGCTGCTGGTTCTCAGCTATCCCATCAACCCGCACCTCCCACACCTTGGCCCGATTCCCTCGCATCTCTCCTCCTCTACGCTGCTTGTTTATGTTTTCCCTTCAAATTTCCTCTCCTCCCTTACGACTCTCAAACACCACTTTTCACTTTCCTCTCCTTTGTCATTCGTCTTTAGTTGCACTCTTATTGCACTTTGAACTTTGAGACTCTCTTCTTCCACTTATTTTCCATACTTTCCCAGCAGCCTCCCATCTATTCTCAGCTGGGGAACATATCTATATTTCTGTTCCTCTCCCATGTCGGAGCGCTTTAATACCAATGGTATTAAATGCTGGCACGACCTCCTTGGCATTCTTAAGCAGGCAGGGATCCTTGTAAGGCTGTTTGAGTGCTTAATATTTTCAGCACGCCGCTGACTTAAGCCCCTTAAGTGCTTTGGCAACACTTATTCCACGGTGGCACCAATGAAGCCCATTAAAAATGTGATTTGGATGAGAGAGAGAGGAAGAGAGGATGGGGGACACCATTTGCCATTACCTCCCTACTTCCGCACACACTGCGACAAAAACAAATACACCCATCAGGGGGTAGCCCACACAGGGACTCTGACACACAACTACACACACACATTCCCCAGTAGTGCGATGTTTTCTTGTTTTTCTTTTGGCCTGTAATTATGCCCTTTGTTACTCTATAAAGCACTTTGTGATGACCCTATTTGGTTAAAAGCGCTTGATAAATAAATTGGCTTTATTTGACTTGATAATAGGGAGCAGCATGTTTCAAATTGAATGCATAAAGATGTTTGTAAATATAGCGTGTGGCAGATTAGGACTCATAGTTTATGATCAGTTGATTAAGAACAAGCAGAGGTGCAATTACCAGCAAGAGTGTGTTGCCTTTCACATTTTACAAGACAATGAAAGTCACAGACACAGAGTCTACTGTCGTTAGCCTCCACCATTGGCTTTGCATTGCCACTTTTATTGCCAATAGCAGTAATGTTACTACATGTGGCAATGATCACAAACAAAGGAATAGCATTATGCCCAGTGTGGGGATGCAACATATACTGACAGGTTGGTCTAGCTCTTAGCAATGATTTCTGTTTCATCAGTGTAAAAATATGGAGGTGATATATTTTATTGAGCCAGGTTCACATCAGCATAATTCATAACACAGTCACGTTCATTTTCGCTGTATCCACTTCCACTTTGAATCACAAATGTCACACATAAATATGTACAAAGTCCTTGTCAGCAGACAGCCGCGCGCATCCCTACAGCCGTACAAATGGCCGTTTAGCATAAAGAGCACTATGATGCCTCTGTGTGCATGGATAAATTAATGGGCAGTAGCTAGTGAAAAGGGCCAAACAGACAGCGAAATGTACACTCTGCTTCAGTCAGCACTGGACAGACGAGCACATTCAGGGACACACGCCACCACTGTTTGTTGACCTGAAAGAGGACCATTGTCACTGCTTCCAACCACACACACACTCATCTCTAACCTTCACAAAATAGTATGCAAAATATGCAGACACTGATCCCACATTGACACACACACACATACTAAGCAAGGGGAGGGTGGCCAGGGTTATATAAACAAGTGTCAGACAGAAAACGGATAGACAGACGGATGTGATCAACACACTACCACTTTTGGGATTCTAGCTATTTTTATAGATCAACAGGAAAGAATCGAAGCGAAAGGAGAACACACTTTAAGGAACTAACAAGCCTGTACGGATTGACGGGAGGACTGGAGGAAGCGGAGAGAGGAAGAGGGTAGAATGGATAAACCAAACACAATTTGAGGGGTGAATTTGAACAAGTGACTTTTTTTTGCAGTCGATCTGCTGCCAGGCCTCAGACCTGCTAGACTCGAGTTTCTGGTGTTCACCAACTCACAGTCATTTTCTCAGCGCCAGCCAGTTGACCGGTGAAGTCAGCGCTGTCGGGAAGATTGGTGATGATCCACTTTCTGCCTCGCCAGAAGTGTCTGGGCCATCGCCGTTAGAGCTCCTTGTGTGTGCAGTGGCACAGACAGTGAGTGTGTAGTAATCCTAAGGATGACACCCGCACTTTACTCCATCAGATAGCGCTCAGTGAGGTGTGCGGTGAAGCTCATCACGCTTTGTCTCTTCACTACAAACACACATATTTAACAAATATACAAACACACCGACGATGCATTGGATCCTGACAATCAGAGGAGCTCTGTCCGGACCTTAAACACAGCAGACTTTCAGATCAGTGTGTATGAGTGTGTGTGTGTGTATCTGGAGAGCACCCGGTGGAGCATGTTCGAAAGGGAGAGTAAGGCAGGTGGATGCTGCGCGATTCCACTTTTTGATAGGCTGTGATTATTCTGAGGAGTCTAGAATTATGTAAAATCACTGTCCATTTACGCTACAGTGTGTACATGATAGCATATCAAAAATAATTCTCTCATTCAAGCAAATAATGGTAGATGCCTTGTGTGAGTAATGCGCAAGTCTCTGGGGTAAAGTAGCAGACTGAAATGTGTAATATTTGAAACTAAAGCGTCTGACTGCTGTGTGCTCCTAGCAGGTTGGTTATTCTACACACGGCAAGCATTTCCACTCTCTGTCTTTATAGCGCGGTACTCGAGCTCAATGGATTTTATTTAACCTTAGCTATCTCCAGATGAGTTGTAGTGAGATAGTGTTTCTCTCCAGAGGCCTGGCCGGTTTGGTTATAGCTCAAAGGGAACATTGACTCCTGCCCGCCGATTTGTCGAGTGAGAAGTGCGGGAAACCCTGTTTTACTATACAATACAATACAATGTCTTCAAGAGTGAACAATGTTGCCCTATATTTCTCTGTCTCTCCTTGAGGGCATGGCAATGTAGGTAGCTCTATTTCAAAAGTTAGCACTCAGTCAACATCAGTAGAAATACACTTGACTCAGCCTGTATCCGACTGAAATATTGTATTATTGATGTTTTCTTTTCCTTAGAGCAGTGCGGTTTGACCTACACGAGACAAGCAATCTGTTGTTGTGGTTAATTGTGAAGGGCGCTGAACTAGCTTAGCTCCAACTTTGACACTGCAGTGTAGCCCACACTTACTGATGAGCTAATTAAGTTGTCCCTCATTTGGTTGAATATCACAGCTGACATTACTGAATTCCCTCTCTGGTATAGAGCATAGTATTTCATGTCTGCTTTGGTCACATTTGGTATTGTTTTTTGTGGTTTATTGATCTAAGGCACCAGTCTCAGGAGGCTCAGAGCACTGTGGTAGAAACATAGGTAGCCTAGCAGTGTTTGCTTTGTTGTTGTTTTGCTTTGATGGAACTGAGCAGCTTCTGCACTGTATTGGTTTAAGACAATTCATGTCACACGTTATATCTAAGCAGCACAAGGTGCTAAAGTCAACAGTGGTACTCTCTGTTGCTCTATGCTTTTCACTGTGTGCATTGTGATACAGTGTCTAAATCGCTAGCTCTGTTAGCGCCCTGAGCTCTAGCCAAGTGTCTAGTGGATTGCGTGCAAGCCCTGGCTACAGTTCATTTCTACGTGACTTAGCATCTAAAGCAGTTTCTTTGCATGTGTTGTGTTCCAGCACATAAGAGTCCTTTCTTTAAGTGTCCTCAAACAACAACTTCTGTCTGATTGTAATGCAGTAAAGCTGGGCAGTTAGTCTGTGCACGTGTCTGCAGCATTACAGTTGAGGACATACACAGTGTTAGTGTGTGTGTGTGTGTGTTTGTTTGTGGACTAGCTTGTCTTTAGCAGTGCATGCAGGGTCACAGAGGAGCCATTGATCAAACGTGCACATCCACATACACACACTTCTAAATACACAATGAGGCCTGTCCGGAGCTCTGTCCTCTGTCGCCTCCTCCCTACCCCCTTCTCTCCGGCCCTACGCAGCCTGGTCCTGGTCCTGCTCTGCCTTACTCGTAAGTCATGCACGCATCAACACACACATGTGCACACCTATACAGATGTAATGAGTCGTGCAGTATCGATTCTAAAAGTGTCATCAAACCCCAAATAAGTCAGGGAGAACAAGCACATATTGTAATGTTCACATGCACACACTCGTATCAGGAAGTGGCAATTTAGTGTTAGTAAGCTCCTTGTTCATTTTAATTTAAACTCCCTGCAGATATATCTCTAAGTGTTGTAATACGATGCCTCCGTTATATGAAAAAGGAACACATCTGTGTATACGCTACTACCGTAATTGGTGTAAATTGATACAGAATGAGATCCAGTGAATGCCAAGCACATGACCAAGGGAGGAAAAGCTTGGGATGCATTGACGAAATTAGAGCTTCAAATGAATTGTTTAAAATGCTGATAATTAAGTTAGAATTGGTCATTAAGACTAAGAAAAGAGAGAATTGGAAGACAGGAGCATATGCCCAGGAGGGGGTGATACCAGGGATTGGACCAAAAAGCAGTTACAAATGAAAACAGAGAGTAAGAGAGATATTATAGTTATTCTCAGCCCTCGTTTGAAGAACATCATAAAAGAAAGTTGAACCCCAGCGGGAGAGATAATGAACGAAATGGAGTGGTTGTCGAGGAGAAAGAGAATGGGTGTAAAAAGTTCAGTGCAAGACACCAATATATATTGAAAGAGAGAAAGACAGACACTAAGGAAAGAATGATCTGGTAATATAGAAACTTGCACTGTAGATGTGAGGGAGCAGCAGAGGCAGCAAAAGAGAAATATCGAGACAGAGATGGAGAACAACACCGTCTCTGTGTGTGCAAGAACGACAGAGATGGAGAGGACGGATACGGAGATAAAACAACAGACTGGGTCTCAAATAAAAAACTACATTAGGTCGAGATGTGAAACCAAGAGTCATAAGAGTGATTGAAGACAAGGAAGAGATAGAGAGAAAAAGTGTTACATGAGTCGGGATCAGAGGCAGAGTTGCTATTAATACTTCCTGCCATTATTTTTATTTTGCATCTAATACAGGGAGATGTTTTTCCCCTCTGCTCAACAAGTGCTGTGCTGCTGTGCACAGTACCTCCCCTTCTGTGCCAGCCAAAATCTCAATTTTCTTTTGCATATTAGATCAACAGAAGGACATTGTGTTTTGTGGGATGTTTAGGGGGATGCTGTGCGGGGGTGACAATGGGGGAGTGAGGGATAAAAGAAAGAGTTTGTGTTTTGGCAGTCAGCGTGGTTATGTAATTCATGCCAGTAGGGCAGTTTTATGCTAGGCCTTTAATGTGCATACACATAAACTCCCTTTCAGCATAGAATCACACACACTTTTGCTTTTGAGTGCACGCACATGCCCGTACATTTCCTCTCTCCCATACACACATTCATTGGCATCACACACAGATACACACAAAAGGGAAGGAAGCCATGTGGTGGATTTTGAAGGGGGTGTTAAGACCAGTTCCTTTGGCTGTGGTGAATCCCTAGTGGGGTAGCCGTCGCGTAATAGCCCTGTAAATTTCCTTTAAGCCGCTGTTGGGGTGTGTGTGGTGGCCATTGTCGCACTGTTGTTGGGGCTGTGACAGACCCGGGCCATAGAAGGCTTCACAGTAGATAGAGCGAACCAGCTTTAACTGTCAGGAGAAAAAAATAGAAACTGGGAGACAGGAAATGGAAGGAATGAGAGGGGATGATGGTGGATGGTGAAGGGTACGAAGAGGTGAACAAGAGAGCAGAATAAGTAATGGGATGGGTGGACAAGAGGAGAGCGCTCAGGGAGATGCAATGCAGCGCGAAAGGAGAGACGAGGGGACACGCTGAGAGAGGGACGAAGTGATTGAAATACACCAAAGGGCCATAGAGACATAAAGATGCGAAGGTCAAAACAAGCAATGCTGCAGCGGGGAGGGGGGGGGGGTGTGAAAGGAAAAAGGGGGATGAGAGGAAGAAGATTTGTAATGCTGAGGATGGAGGAAGTGTGACTGGGGAGCAGAGTCAAGAGTGTTTAAAAAAAGATGTGAAATATGAAAAATGAATGAACGTAAATGTTTCTAATGAGAGGTCAAGTGTGACCAGGGATTACGCTCAAAGCACATCGGTGGGCGATGGAGAGAGGGGGAGGTTCCTGACAAATGGGGAGAAAGATTATCAAAGAACACAGACGGAGAGAGGAAGTTGAGAGAGGGTAGAGCTTTATAACTTGCAATAAAATAAGATTAATTAGAGAATAAGGGAGGAAGCAGAAACGATATATTCAGTCTCTCGCTCCACACGTTTATTTTGTCCCCCTGCCTCACTTTTGTTTCTGTCTTTCCCCATGCTCTCTCCCAGCACACTATAAAAACAGCTCGATTATGCCGCATACTTGAGCTGCAGAACAAATCACATTTGGGGAAGGGGAGTGTGGAGGAACCAGCACAGAGGCAGGAAAAGATTCCCACTGAGTCAGAAGAAGAGGAAGAAAGAGAGATTGCATGGCAAAGAAAGCCTATTGCAGCTTGGAAGGAAACTATTTCAAGGGTGGAGGGGGGAGAGGACAACATGAAGAGAGAAAAGAAGGGATGAAAAGATGGAGAAAAAGAGACAGCCACTAACGGGAGAGAGAGAGAGAGAGAGAGAGAGAGAGAAAGAAAGAGTTGCAACAATTCTCCTGAGGCCCAGGAGCTTTAGGACAGCTCCGATGAGAAAGATGCATGATGAGCAATGCAATAACAGATAAGGGAGAAGAGATGGAGGAAGAAGACAGGAAGAAAGGAAAAGGGATTGATGAAGGAAGGAGGAATAAAGGATTAGATCAGGCTGAAGATGGGAAGAAGAGGGATGGAGAGACTGGGGGTTTGAATAAAAGGAGAAAAGAGGAAGATGGTGAGAGTGAGATTAGACACGGAGGCAACCGGTGGAGAGAATTATGAGATGTGGACTAAGTGGAAGCGCGGGGGGGGGGTGAAAAAAGGAAGTGAAGGAGGACGGGAGAAAGCGAAAGAAAGAAGGTAATGAGGGAGACGAGAGCGAGATTTGTAAAGGATTATGTATTATTTATAGAGGGAATCTTTTTTTCCTTCTTTGCACTGGATTTGATTGGCAGAGTGCTGGCTCCCTGTGAGAGATGGAGTGATAATTTTAGACTGGGATAAGAAAAGGGGGGAGAGAGGGATTGGGGGAGAGTGGTGGGTCTGCATAAGGGAGTTATGGAGGAGAAAAAAAGTCAGTCAGCTATTTTAGAGAGTCAGTGCACTGCAAAGCTCTGTGATGAACCTGGAGCAACACACACACACACACACACACACACACACACACACACACACACACACACACACACATTGCAATCTTCATTTGCATACATACTGTGGAAACCGGCTCGCCTCGCTGACTCGGGGGATAACGGGAAACATGTACATCCAGATGGGGAGAGATGGAGAAGTTGCCAACGGACGACCCCATAAGAGTGGAAACTACGAGCTGCTGTTATTGTTTTAATTATAGCAGTAATAGCACGCCGTGTTGTGCATTGTAGTCTCCTGCAGCAATTCCCTTGTAAATCCGTGGCCGGCATGCAAAGAAAACACAAGCTCTTGGCCCGCTTCCCACTGAAAGATAATCAGAGATAATGAATAGGGACACATTGAGTGCACTACTTCAAGGATTTTTGGGGCAAATGGAGACAGCTCATCTCTTCTTCATCTCTTGTCTTTCGGTCGTATCGTCTCCTCTCTTCACTCTCGGAGACATGGGGAGAGTGAAATAAGGGCAGAGTGAAACCGAGGGAGAGGGGCGCAGCAAGGTGGTAATTCAGCCTGCTAACCCTGCACCACTGAGGCAGTTTCTAGAATTTACCGTGACCAAGGGTGAGCCAGCAGTCCACCTGGCTACCTCCCAAATCCCCCACTTTTAACTCTCCACTTCTCCCTTCATCCCCTCCATGTGTCCCTCTCTCCCCAGCCTCCCTCGGCTTATAACTCAACCCCATTGTGAGAAGGGCCCCAGAACAGCCTTGTCTTATGAATTTACCCGCCTATTATTTATTTATTTGTTTATGTGTTTTGAAATGATTGCCCTTCCTCGGATCTCCATTGCTGTACTAAATAAAAGCTAATCTTTTTTTGACCAGTGACGGCCAGGGTGGAGGCATTTCAAGTGATGCAAAGGACCTATTCACTGCTATGAAATACTGCCCCCGCTTGGTTGGAGAGAGAAGTGATTGTTGTTGTTCCCCGCACTGTTTTATCTCTCTGTTGATCATGGCAGTCAGTGCACTACCATCGATTGCTCTCAGCATTCTCTCTTACTATGATTCAACGCTTGTGGAGTATTTTATTATAGGCACTGGATTTAATGGAGGCCAGATTAATACCTCTGTCACAGAAGTTGATTCTCTCCCCCCCCTCTTTCCCTTCCCTGTGTGTACTATACTTACGCTGGTGATCAGAATCAGAGGCTTGTGGCCTTGATATAAATGGCAGCCTATAAAACCTACATTCAAGCTAAAGTGCTTTTACCCAGCTGTGTTACGAGCGAGAGAGGAATATGCGTCATCTCACGTATGCATTCGTCCAGCCCCCACCAGCTGGTATTATTATTCCCAAACCATCGCTTCCTAACTCCCTGCTATCATTTCCTGGTTAGAGTCCTCACCCGCCCCCCCACCCCCACCGTCTCTCCATCCCTCTGTTCTCTTCACCCAGATTGATCACCCACCAGCAGCCAGCAGGTGTTTCTGGGTGGCATCTCTCAGCGGGTGACGGCGGATGCCTGCCATTCGGCTCGCTACAGCGGTGGATGATTTTTCATTCTAACTTTTCTTTGTCGCTTTTCTTTGCACTTTACTGCTACGCCACTGCAACTCATTTCCTTTGAAGGGGTGACAGCTGTCAGATGAAGTGGATTTACAAATGAACAGCTAATTAGTTTTCTGGCCTCCTCCCATAAGCAAACTTTGGACCCCATTCTTTGTCTGGAGGCGCTCACCATTGAATCCTCACATTTACTTTGGTTCTAATGGGTCACCAAACACACACAGACGCTGCTCTGGCCAGGATGCACAGCAGGACTATTACAATTAACACGACTTAAAACAATGGAGGCCAAGCCCGGTTGCCCTGGTTATGAGTTATAACAGCCATTAGTAAAATAATTGGGATGACGGAGACAGGCCTTGATGGCCCCCGATATGAATCACAATATTGATGCAGAGCAATAATGACTACAATTAGTGTTAATTGTGAAGACTTTTTTTCGGTTCTGTGGAGTATTAGCGTCCCCTTTGTCTTAATCCTCTCTTGGTTTCTTTCTTTCTTCAGTTCAATATCCACTGTGTCTTTCTGTTTCCCCTGATGTGATGAATATGTGGGCTTTGAGTATTTCATTAAAAGAGATTAAAATCGAGGGGAGAATTACATTTGGATGAAGTTGGCAGGATCAGATGATGTCAAAGCGGCTTAATTGCAATATGCCAAGCCCTGCTCACACGCTCACCTATTGTGCATGTGTGTGCACAAACTTAAACTCAGGACACACCACCCGGTTGCAGATATAGACATTCGTTTTGGCCCAAAGCAGTCAAGTCAGCAACTTCTGCTATGGCAGCCACCATCTGTTTGTCTCACAACATTTCCTGCCTTCTCAAGGTGTTCAGAGCTCACAGACGCTGCTGGCCCCAGCAGTGAAATATATACAGTCCCGTCGTCTTTATCGGCACTTCTTATTGCCTGCTTTATCATCATGCTTCGATATTGATGTTGTTCTCTAAATCCTCCCCTCAGCAAACACTTTGCCAGAGAGAGAGGGAATGCAAATTGGTAAATACTTGTTTGGGGAGGCCAGCAAGCTGGTACTCTCTTCAAGGCAATCATAGTCCACTGCCGGCTGGAGCCTTATGGCTAATTGCGCATACATCATTTGAATTCAAACGATGCAACGGCCTGACCCACAAACAGAGGACGCTCCAATCAGATCATAATCAACATCCTCATTACTGACTGTCAGCAACATGAAAGGGGCTCCCCGCTGTTTCTCAGCCCCCAAGATGAAAATGTGGGGTTTAGGGGCTGGGCTAGTTAGTTTGAAAGATAATGTATGAAAGTTTCTGTGAGTGTCTGTGTCACACCACATATTTATGTGTGCATGCATCCACACATGAATATTCACACAGGTGTCCCAAAAACTGTTGAGTGATATTCCCCCCTCTAGCACTTTCCAAATACCTGTAATAAGAGCCATTACATTGGGATAATGGCGTGTAATCAATTTGTTCAGCTTGCACCTGGATGAGAAATGGAATTAAGAATGAGTGAAGTGCATTCGAGGCTGTCGACATGGTCTCACTGCTCTGCACCTTGCCAAGCTTTTCATACTGAGGCGATGTCGGAAACACCACAGTTTGAACTATTCGTAAACACACAGGTGGTGGCAGGGCCGCAGTCCAGAGTGTGATCAGATTGTGTGTGTTTGTGTGAGCCAAGCATTGTGTTTCAGTGTGTCCATGCATGTGTGTGTGTCTACTTTCAAGACAGACTGCCACTTAGAGACTTAATAAGGCATCTTGTATTCAAATGTGTGTGTTGATGCATTCTCCAGTTATTCCCACCAGCCAGAGGCAATAGGCCTGTTTGCATGTGTGCACGTAAAGAGATGAATAGCAGTAATTATAATCATCCCTATTATAATCATAAGAACATATTGTTCATAAGAAGCCTCTTTTACTTGTTGAGTCCTTTTTTCTCAAGCTCTCATGTTCTCAATCTCTCCATCTTCATCACTCTGTCTCCTCCTCTCTTTTACTCCCCCTCTCCATTTCTCCCTTGTTGTCTCCATTTGACAAATGGCCAGTAAATGAAGGATGCTTTAAGTAGTTTATTTTGAAAGGTTCTATCTCAAGTGCAGTACAAATTGAACATGTTTTTCTCCGCATCTGTTCCTAGTTTGTCCCCCCTCTTTTCTTCCTCTCCGTCATCCTCCCTCTCGCACACTATATTAACGTCTATCCCTCTCTTCCTCAGCCCGTTGTCAGGCGGTGCAGGCAGAGAATGTGACAGTCTTGGAGGGAGGTACGGCCCAGATCTCCTGCCGCCTGCAGAACTACGATGGATCAATCGTGGTTATCCAGAATCCCCGCCGGCAGACGCTCTTCTTCAACGGCACGCGAGGTGTGTATCTGCGTGCACGTTTGCCTGTGCAGACTAACTTAATCCATCTATGTGTCTGCATTTGCCCTCAGTTCCATTTGAAGCCAGCCTTTTAAGCACATTAGCAATGACTCACCAACACTTGCACTTTACATTTGTCTTATTGCAAATGTCCTCGCTTTGCCTTTGAAGCGATTTCACATTAAAAAGTCAGATAACCCCGGAGTTAATTTAGATGATGGTTTTTCTTTCTGCCCTAACAGTGTGACTGCTTTAACTGTTTTCAAAGCACAGTTCAAAGCTCTCTGCATAATCCATTTGTAACCCCTGTGATGAGATCAGAACTTATTACAGCTTCTCATTAGAGCATAACCTTGGCGTTCACAGGTTGTTTTTTTTAAAGCGGCTTTATGGCAACAAAATATGGTAACCAATTTTATAATGGATTTCATTGAGAGCCTCAGGGTAGACAAACGCTACTTGTTTATCTGAACTAATTAAGAGCAAAAGCTGCTACCTTTGCCATATTTTCTCTTAGAGCTGCTAGGCAACCTCTGAGCAAAAGAACAATGATCAAGGATTTTAAGCATTGCCTTTGAAATGTCTGTGGAGCTGCTTAATTGGAGCAAATGTTTTCAATACATTTTGTCGTCTAGCAAAAGGTATTTATGCCCTTAACGTAATCGTTGTGATAACTTCTTAAGACGTTAGCTTGGGCTCAAGGCTACGGAGTAAAAATGTGACTTGTAGCTGTTTACAATAAAGGGCAAGAGGGTGAATTTGAACATATTCAAACAACTCTGTTTTTAAGATGATGTCAGCCTAGCAACCCAATGAATGCTCTGATATATATAATGCCAATATATCAAATTCAGCCTCATTCCACTTTATACTCCATAATCAATAAACTGGTAGAATATGTTATTCAACAATTACACAAATGACCAGTTTCAAATATGTACAGAAGCGCTTCTTCCTATTTTGAACACAACAACAGCAAGAGTTACATATTTAAGATTAAGATAACTGTATTAATCCCAGAGGGGATCTTCAGTTCTTCTCTCTGTTGTTATTTTACAATTATACAGATAGGCCCGAAATACACACATGCACACTCAGGACCTATGGACATTAGGGCTGTGCATCTTCACTGGTCTCACGATTCGATTCGATTACGATTATCCTGTCAACGATTCGATTCAATTCGATATCCCGATGCATCCCGATGCATCACGATTCATACCAATGCGTTGCATCCTCAATTTTCGATATTACTGCACATGGCTTATTTTTCATCAATGCATACATGCAGTAAATACATATGAACTCTCTTTTTAATATTTAGAAAGTGCTTCAGAAATCAATAACATAAATGTCTTGACATTCATTTATAAACCAAAATAAATGAATTTTATAGGTCTAGCCTCCCTATATCTGTGTGTGAAATTGTTCCATCCTCAAAAACAAAAAGTCTAGCTGCAGCTTCTAGCAACAGTCTTCTGTTAAAAAAAGGACACTGAATGTCCTGAATGTGGCATCACACACAGGACTTGAGTCTGACTTGAGTATTTACAATAGCATATACAAACAAAAATAGTGCATGTGGGTGCACACTTACATTCTCTGTCTTACTGTTACATAAATCCCATGAATGTATGAGATTAAGTTAGCTTCATTATATCTCAGTGATTAAGTGAATAATAAAGTTTCTATCAGGTCACTATCAGCCTGTCACTCATTATTTTCAGGGAGGGGGCGGGGTTTGGAGGAACGGAGAGGAGACGGTGATCGCGGAAGCTTTTTTCCTCCTGCCTTCACAAACTTTACACACGTATATATCGTCTGAAAATTGCTAGAGGACATTCATACTCTGCAATCCAAGACTTAATTAAATCCACCAAAAACCGGACATGATTGTAACGCGATTATTTTTGAAAAACATAAATCCCTGTGTCTCTGAGCCGCAGCGACACGGAGTGATTCAGAGCGGGTCCTTCTGCTGTTGGTTCTGGACTGGTGGTGTTGTGTTGGTGGATAAAGCAGACTGCTCCGTGTTTGGTGTTGCTGTGCCGCTGTGCCATTGTCACGTATGTTCCCTGATCTCTGCGTCACCGACCGATTTGATATTAAAGTGACAGAAAAAAAAAACGTTATAGTAAAGCCGCGGCCGGAAAATCAGGAAGCAACGTTACTACGCTATAACCGATTATCTTCCGTCACTGCATCGATACCGAATCGTCCACGTCCGCATCGCAATGCATCGTAGAAACGATTATTTTCAACACCCCTAATGGACATGCACTAAAGGAGAGGTGGCAGAGCGAATGGACGGCCAGTGTTCCCACTCAGTCTGTGACATGACATTCAAGCCAGTTCCAATGTTATCAACTGGTTAGAATAAAGTCCAATCTAGAGGGGTTAAACATGTCCAAAAGTGGTTGCCATGCTTATTTTAATAAATTCATTTACATTGTCGTAGAGGTTGCACTGCAGGTCAGTTTTTCCAGAGGGAGTGTTCTTAGTACCTTCTTACACCAATCATCTAGTGCAGGCATGGGCAAACTAAGGCCCGCGGGCCATATACGTTGGGATTTTGAATCCGGCCCGCCGAATATTGGTACAAAATTGTCCAAATTATAGTAAAGACCGCATTCATTTTGCCTTTTTCCTGCAATACCCGGCATTTCAGTTGATCCCACTAGATGGCGCACTCTAGACACAATTGACCTTTGCTGGAGTCTGGTCTAGTCTCTCAGCTGGCCCCATTCGGCAACCCGGCAAGATCCAAGAACAAAATACGTTACGCTTACATTGGAGGAGGTTGAGATTAACCTGAGCAATAACAGTTCATGGCGAGTACGGCGAATAGCTACAAGTTGTAACAAGCAGTAGCACTGAGCAAAGTGACTAGAACGCGACCACACACTTATAAAAAACACTTATATAAAGTCAGGCAACACTAACCAGGCTTAGTGTGATTCTGTTTATTTTACCTTACTTTAATAACCATCCGTTCACTGTTATTGACCATTGTGAAGAGGCAGACGTTTTCCTGTTGTTTTGTATTATTGCAGCTATCGGATGGAATCAATACATGGGCTACATGTGGCCATCACAAGTAAAATCATAACAAAAACTACCTAAAATATGCGTGTAGAAATCGACTTATGCCACAATATGATAGCAACAAGTAGTCAAGATAGTCTGATTAGCTTCGGTTGCTATGCTAACATCACCTGCAGAATGCCAGAGAAACTTTCATAACAGCGTTGTGATGCCAAACAGCTTTCAAACTAAAACACATTCACTTATGGGGACCGGGGATATTTATCAGCTGCTTGTGTGACAGTCAGACAATGAAAACTTTACAGCAGCCGCTGCCGCGAGTTAACGGGAGAATAAACTCCGGTAGACGAGCAGCACAGCAGCGGGCAGTAATGCAGCTGAACCACATTAATAAACAATTGCACCACGGCACTCTGGAGAAAGGTATAAACTTGGAGAAGTAGTTCTTTAATTTAATCTGGCTTCGTATGATTAAAAAATACCAGACGCTGTCCTCTATTGATGTTGTGAGCGGTGTTGCGGAGAAAATCAGCGACGTAAAACACTGCGTGGGTCATAAGAAGGCACGTAAACGGTTACGTCATGACGCAATGATGCAATAATTCACCTTTGAACCTAATTCACCTTTGAACCTGCATATGTAACAATGAGTGGACCAAAGAAAAGAAAAGTCGACATTGAGTGCCGAGTGTTTAATGAGGAGTGGACAGCTAAAAAAAATGTCACCGATCTGCTACTGGCCCGGCCCATCTGTCAAACTTTAAAACTCATAGTGGCCCCCGAGCCAAAAAGTTTGCCCACCCCTGATCTAGTGCATAGCTGTCCTGCGGGATATCTGGAGTGTAACACAAGTCTTTCTTGCTAAATACGATAAATATGGTCATTATTTGCACTTTCCAATTTAGTATCCTACAGAAGAGATGATAGCTTCAGGTCATACCCTATCAAGGTACCCATGTTGTCAGGAAAGACACAGTGTAAAGACAGTGTAAGTCATATTTTTTCTTCAAGCCCCCAATTTACACCATACGGAGCCTTTACTTGCCATAGCTTAAACACAGTTAAAGTGACCAAACAGTTTGACAGGCAGATCAGAAACCCTAAAGCCCTCTGAAAGGACACCTGCTGAACTATTGTCAGATAAACTCTGCACTCAACAGTGTATTGTATATCTACATCCCAAGATCTGATCCTTTCTCTGAATGGTCTGCCCACTCACTCAGTCTGACATGCTGCTTTAAAAATAGTTTTCATAGGTTATGATTTAGATTGCTCTGCTGTTGTTTGACAGGTGCTAATTATCCCAGCGTGATTTTGACTTTCAGAGAGTCTGTTTGCTGAGCTAACTTCAATCAAGCTGCTCTAATTGAGGGTGGCTGAGTTCCAGACGTTTATCAAAATATAGTCTTACACATCGTTATTTTAGTCTCAATCTGATATTGTTACGCAGGCCATATGTTTGAACTGCAAATAAAGCTTTCAGTTTAGCTGGATTTATTTGAGTTGAAATGAGGACAGCGTCGGAGGCCAAAATGGTTGTTTGAAATATAACAGTGTTTGTATTTGTCTCATGGCTTTTAAGCTTGTGATCGATGACACATTTCTCATTTTCGAGGACTATTAAGGTCACACACAGCCTTAACACGACTGCATATTCATCATCTTTCTAATAAGTGAAATGGCAAATATATTCAGTGCTAACCGTATTAAGTAGTAGATCGGTCAAAAGAATACATGTCAAAACTGCAGTTATGTATATGCTTAATCTGCTTCGAACAACACAAAGCTTGCAATTCAGAAGCATCAATATGTATGTAAATGTACCTACTGCATGGTCTGAGGTTTTTCTTTGTGAAAGTTTCTGCTTGAACACATTGAATATTTACAAATCCTTACAATTTTGATCAGTTGTAATAACATTGATTCAACAATCAAGACTCCCACGTCAAATCAGAGTCAGTGAATATTTTCTGATGCATGCCGAGATCTGACAAAGAATTCGGAGAAGACTTAAGAGCAGCCTTCAGTTTTCACCGCTACAGCATTCAAATATTCTTGTTCCACACACCCTTTATTCACTCGTTAGTCTCCTGGATCACGAAGTGACCTTAATTAGGTATTTGAGGTCGCTGCTTTTGGAAAAACTTACTTTCAACTTTCCCCCCAATTCCATCAGATCAGCACTGCTGGTAAGTTCCATTAAGTATTCAAACAGAGCTGCCCCCTCTGCTCTCCCACGAGAAATGGACTTGCACCCTTTCGGAAAGTATGATGAAGCTTAATCACAGAGAGGAAGAAGATAGAGAAAATGAGAAAGGATACAAATAATAGTGGTTCTTCCCCCTCTATTATTTGTGTGGCGCCGGGTGGAAGGTAAAGGAAGACACAGCATCAGAAAGAACCGGGAAAGGAAGTAATAAGGGGTGAAGACGCCGATAGCATTAGGAAACTATCCAAGGGTTAGGTAAGGTACAAAGTATAGATGGCTTTCCGTAACTAATTTGGCTCCGGTTAGCACAGAAAAAGCCTCGTTAATTACATCTGACTGGCTCTCTACCTCCGTGTTTGCTCCATCACTCGCTGTAGAGCTCTTCCATTTCTGCCTATCGCCCAACTGGTGCCCAGATATCAGGCTAACAAACTGAGACCTTTCTGTGCCGAGCCATTCCACACTAACTGCCCAAATAGAGGCGCAGCTGTAAGTGCTGTGAATTAGGCTGCCTGCTTTGCAAGTGAGCAACCAGCCGGGGGTGTGTTTTATGAGATTGTGGGGACTGATAGCTGTAATAGAGCGGTGGAACTAAGCAAATGGACCTTTTCTCTTCAGTGGTCCGTATCCCTCTTTCTCCCCAACTCTCCTCAGCATGCAAATGAGCCAGGACAATAAAGGTGAACTTGGACTTGAACAGAAGTCTGACATTTAGTTGCCATTTAGTGCGGAAAGAGAAGAAAGATTTACCTATCTGGGGGGAACAGCTCTTTGACAATGCCCTGGTTGCCATCCGGTGGAGGGGACATTATTTGTGGGGTTGTGTGGAGAGATTAGTTTGGTGTACTTCCAGGACTAATGGACTGACTCCATCGCTTCGGGCCACTCTCTCAGTCCCCTGTGGTTTTTTGTCTCTATCTGTATTGTATTTTCCCGCCTGCCGCATTATGAAGCTATATTAGACTATTTCTCTCAGTCTCTTTTCCTCCTCAACTCTCTCGCGCACACACAAAGCCAATATCAGTACTGTAGAGGCTGTGTTGTGATGAATTATGCCGGGAGATGGCTGGTTGTTACATCAGTGAAGTGTGTACGCTTGCCTGCGTGAGCCAAAGCCAACACAAAGGAGCGGAGATAGGGACGGAATCAAATAGAAATGGAGAGTGAGGGAGAGGTTTCACAGTGAAGTCGATACGAAGCGGGTCACCAATCAGAATCTATGGGCATCGAGCCACTGTCACCCACAAACTGTTATTAGCGTTATTTGTTATTATCACCATTTTTCTCTCCATTGATTTCATTCTTTCTTGAATAACAAAAGAGAAATTGTTGCATGTTTAACTTTTTCATTCTCTCTTTGCCATCTTTTCTTTCTTCTTTGTGCCTCGATGGGGTTGGCGAGGGTAGCTGATGTCCACGGCTGCACAATTTAGAAAGCTGATGTGTTTTTGCTCTTCGTTTCCAATCTTTGGTTATTACTCAAAGTCTGAATTGCAGTGTTTACGCTGTTTACAATTGTAGCATTTAGCCTGTCTATCACTGACTCAAAGGGCAGCACTACTCAATGTAATAGCCTTCCTTAAACTCATTTTGAGTTTTGCATTAAGCCTTATTTGCATAGTAGATTTCAAAAGGTTGAACAAGTGCTTCACAGCGAAGAAAACAATAATGATTCAAACTTAATAAGATCCATTATAAAAGGGCCAGACACTAATTAGAAATCGGCTTAAAGGGATAAAACAATTATTTGCAAAGAGAATGAATGAATACATTCTAGTAAAGGATAGTCCAATAATTGCTTGGGAAAATTAACAAGCTTCTTCCTCAAGTTGGAAATGAGAGACCCAAGACATCTGTTATGTTGTATCAATGAAGAGCCTGGAGCTACTCCATTGAGACTGACTTTGCAAACTCTCTCTGAACTTTTTCATATCAACTCAGTTTAAGATTTAGCAGCACCATACATTCTCGAGCAGAAAATCGTCTGGTGTGATGTCACGGACCCTTTTCTCCAATGTTTTCCAGTTTTTTTCGTCTGCAGCGCTCTCCATGGGAGGGACATCGCAAATTACCACTTGGTCCAGACTGTGGGAGATAGAACTGGCTGTTTGCTAATACAGAGCAAACTATCTGAAGGCTAAGGAATAAGTCCAAAGCCGAACATGTCATATCACTCAATTAAAGCAGCCTTCGCTTCTCTTGTGCATGCTGTGCTTGCCAATAACTCGCTGCAAAGAGATGAATGCACTATATGAGGAAGATAAACAAGTAAAAACGTCAGATATATCATTGACATTAATTAAGACAATCGTGATGTTATTCATGCCAAGTGCAAGCAACCACTTCTAACTAATATTACACAACTGCCGAGCAAAAAAGTAAAAGCACTTTAAACCCTGAAACCCAGACCTGTGATTCTAAACTAGCCTGTCACTATGTTTGTCCTGTAAGTGGCAACATCAGCTAACCTACATCTACAGATCTGAGCTGTTATTACTCTCTGAAGGTTTGCTTCAACCTGGCTCTAAACCTCTGAATGTCTGGCCACAGCGCAGATGTTCTCACCAATTTATGAAGGTCTAGTGTTGTGGTCATTGACAGTTGTTTCCCTCAATTGGAAGCCAATTAGTATGTTCCAGGAATATGCCAAAAATAAGACCACTGACAGGCAGAAAGCACGTCTATGTTGAGGCCGGCAACCAATTTAGTCGCTACTAAGACGGCTGTGTTAAATGAGAGAATGGAAGGATCTCTTTCTTATCAATCTCTGAGGCAGGCTACACACTCTCTGACCTATGATATTAATTTACCAAGCCGGGCTAGTTCCTCTGCAGCCCACTGGATATAAAACGGAATAATTTGCACATCACTTGCACCCCTAGGCCAACTGCTTCGGCTGAACAGATACATACAAAACTATTGACGGTGGCAGAATAGACTTTCAGAAATACAAAACAGCATGTCAAGCCCGTAACAATGTAATACACAATTGCAAATCAGTAAAATGATTTAGCAAGGTTTTGCCTTGGTATAAATACTCTGTAATTAAGCAAACTGAGCTGTGTGGGTGAGGTATAAACCTGCTCCATTGGGTAATTCTCACCAAAATAAAAACTAGCAACAATCTTGTGAATGGATCACCCCACCGAACCAGGCCGATAGTCCCTTCCCTGTTTTCTAACCCTTACATCCGTCACCCTTAATCAGAACAAATGCACCTTCAAACTAAGTCTCAATAACACACCTTAAAAGTGTTGTTACTCCGTCTTGCTTGGTTGAAACGCTGTCGCTGTGACTGGCAAAGTACTTAAAGCTGCCTCTGAGGTCGTTTCCACTCCAATAGGAATCTCCAAAAGCACATTTTGCCATGTAGACACACAGAGAGACTCACACTCTGAAAACAATACCAGTGTCACTGTCACGGCTGGTAATAACGCCAGCAAAAGGCTGCCAGTAAAAGTGTTGAAACAAGTTATTTAATATGACACTCTTTGGCAGTCTCAGCTTGTGTGTGCGGAATATTTCAAGCAATCAAAGCACCGTGACAAAAACAATTCTTAATGCTCCGAGTCTGTCCCTGAAGCCTTAGAACAGAAAAAAACAATCAATTATACTGACCCAGAGTTAAATCCTTTTTGTTGTTGTTTTCCCATTGGTTTTACCGTTACTCTTTATGTGCAGAAATACAGAATTTATTTGAATGAAGTCTCACTTCACTGATTTCTTTTCTACCGATGACTGATGTACTCACCTTCCCTCTCCTTGTCTCTCTTCCTGTCCCTTGCCCCCCATCGTCTCATCCATCACACCTCCCATCTCATCCTCCTTTCCCCACTCCCCTCCCATCCCATGCTGTCTCTCTTCCGCCCCCGCCTCCATACCCCACTTCTTCCTCTCCCCATTGTCTCTGTCCACCCCCCAGCCCTGAAGGACGACCGTTTCCAGATGGTGCTTTTCACCCCGAGGCTGGTGCGCATCACTTTGACCAACGTCAGCGTGTCGGACGAGGGCGGCTACTTCTGCCAGCTCTACACGGACGCCACTCACCACCAGGTGGCGACGCTCTCCGTCTCCGTGCCCCCGGAGACGCCCACGGTGGAGGTGAAGCAGGAGGCCGTGGAGGGGGGGGAGGTGGAGCTCAGCTGTATGTCTCCACGCAGCAAGCCGGCCGCCACCCTGCGCTGGATGCGTAACGGACGGGCGATTCCAGGTACCTTAACAAGGCTCTAAAGGATTGCTTGACTACTCTGAGATGTTGAAATAAAGAATGTGTTTTATTTTCACAAAATGTAACAAGTACAACCATTATGTAAAAGCACAGATGCTACACTCCAGATTTTCTCACACTACTTCACACAATAACAAAGTAACACATTTTAATTCACATACTGCTTTACTGCTGATAAATCTGAGCCACCCATCCGTTTGATACCTTGATCTATCCTTCTTTCCTTCTCTCTGTCTCCCTTGGCTTCTCTCAATTAGAGGAGCACTTGACTCAATAATACATCTGAGGCTAATTTTTCTCTCGCCTTCAGTCTGTTTAGCCCCCGAGAAATCACTCTTTTGCACTCCACCGTTAAATCAGCATTTATATATAATGCCACTTTCTGATTTGAATTCCTCAAAAACCTTGTAGAGTTGACTGAGCACCAAAAGGAAAAAACACTGTTTGACAAATGTATGCAAAGCATCTCTCACTCAGGCTTATGGCTATTATTTTCTCCATCTCAGATTTGAATAAATACAGACAAACATTGTTTAAAAGTACAAATTGCCGTCAAATGTGTTGCATTATTCATTTGTTCGCACTCGATGCACTCAAATAACTCACACAGACGGGATAAAGTAGTGTGAGATAATCTGGTGTCAACCGTTTTTAGGGACATGCATCGAGCAATGCTTTGTCCTTTCAAAGTACATTTCAGCTGTCCCCTTTTTTACCTTTCTATTTCTGTCTGACACCAAACGTCTCTTTCATCCCGTCTCCTCTCTCTTTCTGTCAGTATGCCATCATTCTGTTTCTTTCTCTCTGTCCTTCCCCTTTGCTCTTTCCTGTTCTTTTCATCTAATATCCCTTTCTTTTTCCCCCTTTAAATATCAACGGTGACAAAAACGTGACGCTCGTCAGCCGGGTTACTGGTTGCAAAGGGCTTTAGTAGTCAAAGACACAGAGAGAGTAGCACTTTCTTTTCTTGCCTGATCATTTACTTACACTTTTCTCTCCTCCTGTTTCCTCTTCCCTTATCTCCTCTTTCCCCTAACTTCTGATCTAGGTTCCACTCTTCTCCTTTCCTCCTGTTTCCTCCTATTTCCTTCCCTCCCTGTATCACCCCCCATCCCTCCCCTCTCTTTTGGCCCTGAGTTAAATGAGACACTAAAGGTTGGAGGCAGATCAGGACAGATATGGGAAAGCACTCTTTAATTAAGACACTATCTCCCCACCGCTGCTTTAGTCCGTCTCATCTGCACCCACCGCGTCTCTCGCTTCGATTAGACTTCCTCTCATTTGCTCCACGGCCGTAATTGAAAACTCAGCGCGATATAAGTCATATTGTTGTATTCTGCCTGAGCAGGCATACACTCCCAGTATGTGAGCATGTCGCCCTGCTGTTCCTCCTCCCTCCTTCTGTCTCTCCTCCTCCTCTCTTTTCGCGTCTTTCTTCCTCTCTGCATCTCACTTGGCCCTCTTAACGTCCTCTTTGATGTATGGACTTCTCATCTCGCTGCAGCCTTTCTCACCCCCTCCCATAAATCATGCCCGTTTTGCTGCCCTCTCTGTCTGAGTCCCTCTCTCCCTTTCCCTTTCTTCTCTCACCCTGGTCTTTTGACGCCAGTCCCTCGCCGTGTCTAGCTCAGTTAAATAATTAAATTTGGTTATGAGTTTTCTCTTATTTATCCCTCTCTCTCCTCCATCTCTCTCTCTCTTTCTTTCTCACACACACACACACTAAATATTCAGTTGATTTGCCCTCTGCAAACAAACAGTTATGCTGCTCATAATTGCCTTGAAATATAGATGCAAATTGCTTTCTCTATTATCTCTCTTTTTATTCTGTCCTCCACCTCTCAGACTCCCTTCCACAGGTACCTAGTGCTGCTGCAAAAAGCTCATTCATCAGCCACTAACTTCTTCTAACTCTGTCCCATTTCAGTCTGCTCACTTCTTCCAGCCACGTCCTCTCTTCTAAAAGTCTCCTTTCCCTCCCTCCCTCCCTCCCTCCCTCCCCCCTGCCTCTCCACCATAGGTGTGATGTAGCAGCGGGGGGACGGAGGCATGTTTTGGCTGCTTGCTTGTTTCTCTGCCACTCCAGCTGTCTTCTCGCCCTCCATGTTCTCATCCTGTCTTCCTCTCTCCAGGTGTGGTATCCCAGCAGGACAACGCCAAGACGTTCAGCGTGTCCAGCACCATCCGGATCCCCGTGGAAAGGAAAGACAACGGGGCGGCGCTGAGCTGCGAGGCGTCTCACCCGGCGCTCAGCGGGCAGAAGAGGATCCGACACTATCGCCTGGATGTGTATTGTAAGTCTCTCCTTCAAGCTAACTGTATTGCTGTCGTTGAAGTTCCCATGAGGTCTATTCATTATAGCGTTTCACTTTAACGCCAGCAATTATTTTGTCAAGGGTAGCAGCCTCATTTTTCAAACGGTGGATATCTCATTTTAGAATGAAGTTCATTTGTATACACAAGCCAGGATTTTTAACAGAGTGATATTCAAAGCTGCCCTGAATGGGACCTGCTCTCATTAAAACCTAATACATACACATCTTATCACGCAGAGCTGGCAGAAGCGGGCCTGCAGCCAGATGAGGGTCCTGGCCTGAGGTCTGAGGAAACCCGGGTCACATTATTATGTGCATTGATTCGAGTTCTGTTCTGGGATTGATTGATTTTCCTGTCTTATTTGCTTAAATTGGTATTCTGTGAATATCTGCACATCCAGGCCAGCCAAAGCAAACTACTGAGAGGCTTAAATGTATTACTGGCTTAAGTCTAATGTTCACGCAGGGCAGCAAATTCAGACATCTTTATTTTAAGATGAATTATCAATATTTTCACAAATCTTTAGACTGTTCAGTGGGATTAATATAAAAAATGTCAGGCAGCTATAATTGATATCCTTGCCAAAGTTTAAAATTCATTATTTAATATATTAATACGAAATGTAAATCCATTTGATTTTCTTCTAATCCCATCAAACATGTTCAGTTTTCTTTTAATACTTACTGCTACTACTTCTCTATATTTGTGTGTATTATTTTGTTTCATTTGTAATGAATTCAGAAAGCAGAATAACACATGAATTGAGAGGCACCATCTGTAGATTTCAGATATTAGTCGACACATCAATGGTATTTAAATGTTATTGTGATGTTATTCGACAAGTGAACAAATATTACATTATTCTATTTGATCGCTTCTCATCACACTTTAATATGATTTTGATCCTTAACATATACATACTTTTGCATAGATAGATAAATAGATGGATAGATAGATAGACATATAGATAGATAGATAGATAGATAGATAGATAAATAGATGGATAGATAGAGAGAGAGAGAGAGAGAGAGATAGAGAGAGAGATAGATAGATAGATAGATAGATAGAGAGATGGATAGATAGATAGAGAGAGAGAGAGAGAGAGAGAGATAGATAGATAGATAGATAGAGAGATAGATAGATAGATAGATATACTTTATTGATCCCAATTTGGGAGATTATTTTGTCACAGAAGAAGTGTGTTCAACATTAAAATACAAATACTTTAAAAAGTGGAATAGAGAATTAACAACTGAAAATGAAAATGAAAACAGTATATCAAATACAAACCATATAAAATATTCTGAATAATAAAAATGTTCATAAAAAAGTCAAAAATAGTAATTTCTCCGGCATAAATATTTAACGTTGGTGACATTTTCAACTTTTTACTTCTGAATCAGTCTTTGGATTCAATTGCCCAGCCACATGGATACTAATGTTTGTCGGTTGATGACAAAGATTAATATCTGACAGTCTTTTCAACTTGCGAGCCAGAGAACTGGTCGTAACAAACAACTGTCAGCGTGGGTTTGGCATCCCATCACTCTGTTACTGAAGAAGTGCAGAACAGCATCTGCTGCAGCCATGCTTGTGATAACAGGTGTCTCAACCATAGGATTGTCGGCTGGTTGCCTTGGAAACAGATGTTTGAAAAACCCTTCGTCCTGCCACGTTTTCCTTGTTCCTTCTTTTTTGTTCTCGCAGTCTCTATCTCATTGTTGATTTGTATCCTTCATCTTGATGCCTTTGATCTTCTGCCTGTTTTCTTTGCTGGTTTTCCCCATGCATACTCATTGATCTTCTTTTTCTCCCCACAGTTGCACCAACAGTGAGAATTGTTCCTCCACCTGGAATTATGCGAGAGGGCGACTCGCTCAGCCTGACCTGCTCCGTCACTGGGAACCCTCTGTAAGTGTGTGTGTGTGTGTGTGTGTGTGTGTGTGTGTGTGTGTGTGTGTGTGTGTGTGTGTGTGTGTGTGTGTGTGTGTGTGTGTGTGTGTGTGTGTGTGTGTGTGTGTGTGTGTGTGTGTGTGTGTGTGTGTGTGTGTGTGTGTGTGTGTGTGTGTGTGTGTGTGTGTGTGTGTGTGTGTGTGTGTGTGTGTGTGTGTGTGTGTGTGTGTGTGTGTGTGTGTGTGTGTGTGTGTGTGTGTGTGTGTGTGTGTGTGTGTGTGTGCATTATTTGCCCCATTATAGAGGCAAATAATGTACTTTTTGCTCCACTACAAAAAAAAACACGTGATATGTTATAATTCAGTGCTGTACTGCTAATCGACACCGTATTTCTAATATCTAAATTTGCTCCTCAATGACGCACTACAACACTACAATGCTCTGACATGTATGAAAACAGGATAAAATAATAACCATACTAAAATCATACTGTGAAAAAATATTCTCCATAACAAGGACTTTTACTTTTGATTCTTGAAATACATTTAGCTGAAAATGCTTCTGCGCTTTTACTAAAGTTACATTTTGAAATTACAACTTTTAATTGTAGAGTATTTTAAGACCATAGTATTTGTGTGTGTGTGTGTGTGTGTGTGTGTGTGTGTGTGTGTGTGTGTGTGTGTGTGTGTGTGTGTGTGTGTGTGTGTGTGTGTGTGTGTGTGTGTGTGTGTGTGTGTGTGTGTGTGTGTGTGTGTGTGTGTGTGTGTGTGTGTGTGTGTGTGTGTGTGTGTGTGTGTGTGTGTGTGTGTGTGTGTGTGTGTGTAAAGGATCTGAGCACTACTTCCAACACTGACTATGCCTTACTTGAATATAATGGCACAACAACTGTAGAACCTCACAATATGTAAGTAACAAACACATGCACATACAAACACACACACAGGTTAATGCTGCTCAGCTCATGTGCTATATTTGGTACGCAAGGTAAAGTGGTTTGAAAAGGTATTATATATTTGTAGTTTGAAGTTCAAAAAAGAAATTGAATCATTCACTTCACCTTCAGCGATAAATGAAACGACGGAGCACAAAGCGCTGCCTGTGAAGCCAGGTTGTAATTCTGGTTGTAGCTTTGTGTTTCTCATTCCATAATGAATTCCTGACATAATAATCACAGTACTATGAAAGGTTTGTCTTGACAAAGCGTTTGTGCTTGAAAAGCTGAAAAGAGTCCCGACACTTCGGCTTAAGGACACACAGAAAGCGTTTGATTGATGGCGACATGGAGGCTGCCAAGTCCAATGACAACGTTTCACAAACACTACATTTTTACAAAGTGATGCTGTGGGGCAGCAGTTATTCACATCTGGGAATAGTTTGAAGCTATGATGAGGATAGCATTGAGGTGGTAACGTCAGCAAACAGCTGCTAGCTGCAGGTAGCTTCTACACAGACAGACACAAGCCTACAGGGCTCTACTTTCAAATCTGGCAATCTGTTTGGAGGCTTTAGTTCATTTCAGTTCACGCATTTACCCAGAACCCCTTAAGTGCAGGATAAGTATAAAATAGGCTTGGATTTAGCTGCCTAGAGTGATTGTAAAAGTGTCTGGTAATGTGTCTTTGTACTTTCTCAGAGCAATACTCCAAAAAATATCAAAATGTAAAAACAATACGATGATAATTTAAGAAACTGCAGATTTCTATCATAAACACAAGTCTAAACACAGATGAACACACACAGCTATGAGTTGGTAAGTCAGTTTGTTTGATTCATGGGCCATACAGGTGATTCAGAAAGATTATCTTTGAATATCCACAGATCGCTTTATTACAGACACCGTTTATTTTAGGAATAATTATTATCCACTTTGTTGAAAACTGTGGAATAACCTCTTCCAGCTCCAGTGAAGCGTTCACGGGCCGCTGCAGAAATCTCTGGATTTCTGGAAGGAGACCAAATGAGTGCGCCTAAAGCAGGACGTCACTGTAAGGAGGACATTTGCACTTCAACATCCCTCAATATTTTTAGAAAAAAGGACAAATTAGTGAGAGCTTCTTCCCTTTGGAAACCTCAAATAACTGCATTCAAAAGATCTTACTCTTTTCTCTTCATTATGTGTTGTTGAAACTAAGTTGACCTCTCTATATATAATTACCATCCTACATAATTCCAGGGGCCTTTTTCAGAAACCGGAAGTAATAACCAAGTACAACTAATGTTCCACAACTATATTCCCTATAATTACTGCAAGATATCTAGGTGCTGTGTAGGAAACATTATTAGACATGAAAGGCAACTCCGTCATCAACTTTCTTTTAAGGAAAGTATTAGGAAATAGACCATCAAAATGTATAACTAGATTCTAAAAATAGAGTTAAAACACTGTTAAAAATACACAAATAAAATGTAAAAAATGTGCTAAACAACAGCATCTAATCACCTGAAACACAGAGTAAAACAAATATATAATAATATGATCTAATCTAGTGATGATGAATGGATGGATAACAGTTTAAAGATTTTTGGGGGTTGGATCTGATTTTTGAAAGAATTCTGAGATGAGGAAAGCATGATTGAACTATTGAATTGACTTTGAGCTTTCATCCCAAATCATACCCATAACTTTGTTGTGAGTCAAACCAAAGGAGTCTAGTAAATCACATGTAGTTTTACAGCATTAATAAACCAATCAGGATTTTTGGAATCACGATGTCAAGGACGGTTTTGTGCTACAACCAAAAAACCTGTATCTGTGGTATCACCTGACATTTATTGTATGTATTTGTATTTTTTGGACGAGAGGCAGACACAAACTGTTTGATCTACAATGTATGACATGCAGGACAGAGAGAAACATCTTAAGACGAATGTATGAAAGTGACCAGAAGAGTGAGGACATCAACATAGGTGACTTGGTAGATGGTGACTTGTGATGGTAGAGCTTCGAAACCCAATCAGCAGTCAACACTTTTAGGAGCCAGCTCTGAAACAAAGCCGTTCTCCGGGGTGTTCACAGCCCTTTGTGCACTTTCCAGAAGGGTATTGGGTCCTAAGCTCTTAAACCCTTCCCTAGATGGTCCGTCTGTCTGTGGGCATCAAGTCCAGTAAAGCTCCCCAGTATGGCTTCATGCAGCCAAGGTGTGTGCATATGTGTGTTTGTGTGTGTGAGGACTTAAGTGAAATCCCACAGTGAGAACTGGCTGACAAACGTATTGGCTATATCCCAGCTAAAGCTTTGTAACCGCTGGTTTGGGACCGTGTGTGTTTGTGTGGTGCATCTACGCGTGTGTGATAGTGAGAGATGGGACAGCAGGCCTCACTGGACTCTGACCCTCATCTCACGCTGGACTGCACCACACACACACACACACACACACACACACACACATTACAGTCCCCTTGTCGGCCTCCTGCCTGCTCCCTGACCCTGTTAACTGCCTGTTAAGTATTAATGACCAATTATCTGCCACTTCCTTTTGGTGGAGGGGTACACTCATTGTTTGTCTGTTCTTAGGAGAGGAGATGGAGACAATGTCTTGTAATTTCACTTAATTGCCTGCTTGTTCGTGTGTTTTTTTTTTTAACTGTGTGGGAGTACAAGTATAAATGTGTGTGTCAGAGAGATGAACAAGGGGGAGTTTTGTTGGTGCGTTTAGGGTGAGCGAGAGAGTGTATGTGACTAGGCAAGAAAGAGGTTTAATTAAACGTCCCGAGGGATTAGAACCCAGATGAGTCAGGATGGTAATCTGGCCAGGGTGGCTTGAGTCATGACACTCAGCCTGCCTCACACACACACACACATTTACACACACTGCGATGTTCGCCAGGATGTCTCTGTAATCCTCGCACCTCCTGTCTGCTCTGCCTCCCCGTCTTTCATGACCAATTCATTTAGCCTGCCTGCTCCTTCCCTTCATCTCCCAGCACACCATGTCTTCTTCTTCTCTCTCGAGTTACACTCTCTTCCCCCCGTATATATTCTTTTTCTCCGCTCGGCACATCTGACACCTTATTTCTATCTCATCTGCCCTCCTTTCCCTCCTGCCAGCCCTTTCACACCATCTCCGCCCTCTGACCATCCATCTCTTCATAATTTGTCAGGATGCAGCCCTCAGTTGCCATTGGCTCCTTCTCCAAGCCCCTTCTACACTTTCTTCTCTTGTCGACTTCCCCCTGTCGGCCTTTTTACTCTCCTTTTTCACCTCTCTTTATAGCTTCCCCTGGCGCCTGTACTTCGATCTCTTGTCTTTTGGTACCTCCTCATTTTTAATAACCTTTAGCACCTGCGGTGTTACTAAATGTGTTTAAGACTAGTGGGATACTTAGAGGTAGTTGTTGCGTGGTTCGTGAGCTTCACTATCTCTCTGAAGAAACAACACAGGATTCCTGAATCTAGGTTTCCAAGTTGCTAGCGTTAGCAGCGAAATCAAACACGTACAAAGGTTATTTTTATTTTACCAATTTTGTTCGGTATTTAATTTGCCATTTTCAGCATTTTTTGCAAAACTGTCAATATAATGTTACCCCAAATAAATAAAGAATTAAAGCAAATGATAAAGGTTAAAGAGGTCATATTATGCTAATGTACACATTCATATGTATGTTGTGCCTCTACAACATGTTTACATGCTTTCATATTTAAAAAGTGTGATGATTGGTTAGCTGGCCATCTCTATTGTGATTGGTCAACCGCTAATAGATGTCCCACCTATATAACACACTATAGGAAAGGGAAAACCCCAAGAGCATAATAGGGCCTCTTTAAAGGACAAAACATTTGACTAGTTTCATCTGGAGGCTAATTTCTCCTCCTGTGGTGAAGGATACCCACTTCCCAACACTCAATTCCCTTCAAAGAAGCGAACACAATCAGTCCCAATCTCTGAGATATTAATATAAACATGACTGTGATATAATTACAAAGTTTCAAATAGGTGTGCCTGTTATAGAAAACACATTTCAAGCGACATATTACTGCCGAGCACCTGTGGTTGAATAGGTAATAGAAAAACTGGAATCAATTGTGTGTAAATCTACAATTGAAGTGGCTGACAGTAGAAGTTGACCTTTTTGGGGTTATGTTTGGGTCTTTGCATATATGAGTGTGCATGCATGTGGGAGGCTATTTGAAGCCAACTCTGCATCACGATGAAATGAAATGTCAAAAGCTATTTTAATTAACATTGAATCTATTGATATATTTTTGTATTAATTTACTAATGGCTTTGAGATGTCAACAAAGACATAAAAAGGGCAAATGATTACCAAGTTGCCCTCCTCAAATTACTTGTTTTGTTCAAAAGCCAAAGATACTCCATTAAACAGCCAATCCTGTCATTGGAAAACCTTGAAACTGCACATTTCTGACTTTCTTCTTTGATAAATTAAACAAAAATCAAATATGTTTTTTAATGAAACCTCTCTCCGTCTCCTTCCTTAGGCCCAGGAACATCCAGTGGTCCAAGATTAACGACACCTTACCTGAGAGGGCGGAGATTTCCGGCCCCACATTTCAGATTTCCCGCCTCAGCCAATTACACAACGGGACGTACTTGTGCCAGGCCCAGAACAACTTTGGACGCGCTGCCGATCATTACACCCTGCTGGTGTACGGTGAGTAACTATGGCTGACAATTGATTACATGTTGCAAGTTTTCTTTAGAATTTCCAAGAGTGCTTGAAATGTTTTCTTCATTGATTCATCTATTCCATTGTTTTTCGTTCATTTCCAGTCCTGGGTAATTGTTAACTGCTCATAATAATTGTATTTCCAATGGGTCTTTTGCTTGTTGCATTTGTTGTTCTTCTGTTCTGATGATACCTTTTGGGAGAAATCTTTTACATTTCATCGATCCTTTTATCTCCCCAGTGTCTTTGGAGTCTGGGTATTCTAGCGCTGGGCAACAGACCCATTAAATCCTGACGCTTGTCTCATCTGTCCTTCGGTTTTATTTGTTTTCCTGTTTCGGTACACAGCAGGAAACCTCTGCTAAACCTTCTGCACAATCGATTCAACAGAGATATTGATTCCAGAAGAAGAACGAAGGCTACCGTGCTCAGAAAGTAGTCACCAACATCATTATTCAGGCTTTTCATTGTAAAGAACCAATTCATCTTGTACCCTGTGACCCCGTCCTCTCTTCCCTGAATTCAGAGTAACTTTATTCCTCAAGTGCAATAAATAAAACTTCGAGGTGTTGTGACAGCTGAATGCAATTCTCAAGACAAGTTTACAAGTAGGAGAAGAAGACAACACACAGTTCAAAGTAATATTTCAATGCGGGATCTGTTGGAACACTGCATTTTACATGGTTACATTTGGCAAAACAAGAGGGGTGGAACATATGTGGCATTTAAAATTCAGGCAAATCAACTTGGCTTGTTGCCTTAGCAGAAGTATCAGAGGCGGGAGGAAGATATGGTTAAGGGGGCTTTTGTTGTCAGGTTTTACAAGTTTTCCTAGATGTTGCACCTCGATTCAGTGGTGGTAAATTCTTAATGAAGGTTGACCCAGATAGACTGCACACCGTGGCTCTGAGAAAATGACAGCGATGCTTGCAACATCACATGAAAATCATCTCATCTCGATAAAGTTATTCCTCAGAAAATGTGACAAATTGGCCAAGTTTGAAGCACATTTTGAAAGCAAGCTTTCGATGTGTTTTATGTTGTGTAATCCGCTCATGAAGCAACTGAGTAAACTTGCAAGAAAAAAGAGAACAAAATTGGGATTGTGAGATTTTAATGGGACAGTTGAAGAAGTGAGCTCTTCATTAAGACGTCTATGGTTTGGCCTGATTGCACACACTCTCCTGTCACTCAGCAGGTTTGATCTACCCTTCCCCTGCAAGGCAAGGCAAGTTTATATATATAGCACCTTTCAACACAAGGCAATTCAAAGTGCTTTACAAAAAATGAAAGAGATTAAGAAAATGGCATTTAAAATCAGTCATTAAAAAGAAAAGCTAATAAAATAAACATTAAAAGAAAAAATACATGGATAAAAGTTACAGTGCAGTCAATTAAACATTAAAAGAAAAAATACATGGATAAAAGTTTCAGTGCAGTCTAAGATGTGAATAGTTCAATTAAAAGCAGCGACAAAAAGAAAAGTCTTCAGCCTGGATTTAAAAGTAGTCAGAGTTGCAGCGGACCTGCAGGTTTCTGGGAGTTTGTTCCAGATATTTGGAGCATAATAACTGAACGCTGCTTTACCATGTTTAGTTCTGACTCTGGGGACAGAAAGCTGACCAGTCCCTGAAGACCTGAGAGATCTGGATGGTTCATCATTTAGCAGGAGGTCAGAAATGTAAGCAGGAGGTCAGAAATGTAAGGCATTTGCAGGCAGCTCCTGTCATTGCACCTTAAGAAATCTGAAGGAAGAAGGGCATATAGACATTATATCTTATGTAACATTTTTTAATGCAGCGCCCCACATCTATCCATCACACTAAAACTCTCTTTCTCTCACAAGCGCACACAACAATCACACACTCTTGTACAAGCTTGTCTAGCATCAAAAGGCACACGTAATGGCAGCTTTCCACAGGCATCAAGGGTGGCAACAGTGGCAAGATGAAAGGTGACATCGCCACCCACTCTGCCTCTCTCTTCGTCTCTTTTTCTCTCTGTCTTTCTCTCTCGCACTCTCTATCCTAGAAGGTTAGACATGCCAAGCTTTGATGTGTGTTGCCACCTCTGTAGAAACATGTTCTGTCCTCCTCCTCCTCCTCCTCCCTCGTCGTTTTTAGCTGTCTTCTTCAGTTGTTCTTCACTGTGTCATTTCCTCTTTTTCTACGATTCATCATTTGTCATTCTTTATTTAATGCCGCTGCTCCGTGCTGGTCATTAATTTGATTGATACTTTTTTGTCTTATCGTCTCTTATTATGAAAAAGAAATATATGCAAAGTAAGACATCTTGCCTCGACATAAATCCATAAAATCCACATAACCAACATAAGGCAGGCTGCAACTCCTCTGCTCTGCACCACGGATTTCCAGCAATCAGCCTCTTAAATCCTCCCGCTGTAGCCCTGTATCAGTGCTGGTTTGCTCTACTTTAAAAGATATGTACTCGCCCACTGGGCAGATTGTTCAAAACCTTATCTCCAACAGCTCCGAGTTGTTGATTTAGCCATCAAATTAATAATCTGTAAATGACTTAAAGTCATGCCACAACTAATAACTGGCTAACCTGGTGTCAGTCCTTACGCAAGGATAGTCACTCCTTGTATTCAGCCGAAAATCTTTGCAGTGATATGTATTTATGAATGTTACATAATCATAGGAAGGTGTCTGTTTTGCATGACTGCCAATCTAAATAAATCAATGGATCATTTAATACAGTGTTAGCGAAGTGCTATGTTATGATTAAATACTAAGTTCATTAGTCAATATTGAATACAAATATGAATCCACAAAGATGACTCTTCTAACACTCAGCACCCACTTTGTTATTGTAGGTGTAGTTATTGTATTTTTTTAGATAGTGAATATCTAATTACTGTAGTAAAGTACTTCATATCTAGATGGTGATAGTGATAGATCTAACTCCACTTCTCCATCCCTCTCTTATTCTCCTTACTTCTCATATTATCCCTCCTCTGTTGCCTCACCCTTTTCCCCATTCCTTTCCTTGACATCCGTCATTTAATCGGCCCTCTGTTCTGTTCATGTCCACTTCCTCTTCCCCCCCACCCCCTCACCCTTTCAACTGTTTTTCACCTTGCCACCATTTTGCCCTCTGTTTTCAGTTCATCTACAGTTCAGTCTCTTTATTCAAGGAACACCTAGGTTTCTTAGAATATGCCATGGAGAGCGTGTGGGAGGAGTTAGGAAGGGATAGATCGAAAGGAGGAAGGAAGGGGAAGAGAGGTTAGGAAGAAGTGATGGAGGTTGAACGCAGGTTAACATTCAGTATCGCAGCATGTCAGTTTAGTTGGCTCCTAGCCTTTTCCCAGGAAATCCCAGGGTGCACTGGGGTAATACGGTGGGGGGAAGGGCTTTAGGATGTGTGTGTAAGTTGACTCAGCAGAAAAGAAACCATTTTATTGCAGGTGCAGAAAAACCACCAGTGATCTCTCTCGTCTTTCTCCTTCTCATTCCGTGTCAACCTTCCCTCGGCCATTGTTATCTGCCGCCAGGGTGCGTACACAGAGTACAAACTCAGGCAAAAGTGGCTGCCAATTTGTCACAGGTGCTTTAGGCGCTGTCACTTTATGAGGGAGATGGGCTTAATGCTGGCAAAGGGGAACAAAGAGCAGGAGTTGGGAAACTCTCCGGGGAGCGGAGAGTTTGTGGCAGAGACGTGACGCATTGGAGCTGAGCTTTATTTGACTGGTCACACTGGAGTGTATTTGGAACTCTGTGTGTGTGTGTGTGTGTGTGTGTGTGTGTGTGTGTGTGTGTGTGTGTGTGTGTGTGTGTGTGTGTGTGTGTGTGTGTGTGTGTGTGTGTGTGTGTGTGTGTGTGTGTGTGTGTGTGTGTGTGTGTGTGTGTGTGTGTGTGTGTGTGTGGGTGTGGGTGTGGGTGTGGGTGTGTGTGTGTGTGCACTTTGATGTGTTAATGATTTAGCGTGTGCATAGCTAATACAATTTCTGCAACTTTCACAAAGTCACTATTGAAATAAATGGGAGAAATGGTTTTGTTGAATCAGAGTGCACACATTACACACACACACACACACACACGCACACACACACACACACACACACACACACACACACACACACACACACACACCCCCACACACACACACACACACACACACACACACACACACACACACACACACACACACACACACACACACACACACACAGAAAGTAAAGGATGTAGCTTCTGTTGGTTGTTCCATATCTGTGCCACCATTGTTAAGGAGGAATTGGATTTTTATATGTGTGAATATACGCAAAGGTGAATGTGTGTGTGTGTGCATGTGATTGGGAGGAGGGTGTTACTGATTGTCTGGTGAAAGCCTGGAGGGATCCGTTATGTAATTGAACATCGCTGCTGCACTCAGATGAATCGCGGAGCCAATACAACCCATTAGAATTGAATTGCATTAGAGAGTGTGGGAGATTTGGAGAAACAGAAAAAGGAGAGGACGAGGTACAGATGAAGAGATGATGAGGATTGTTAGTTTGAATCTACAGTATGTTACTTACTTATATGCATGCATGTGGATGTGAGTGTGTGTACATGTTGTGCAAAGCAGAGCAGGAAGTGATCACAAGGGAGGGATTAATTGTTCTTTCTCCGGAAGTTTTTCCTTGTACGATGTGAGGGTCTAAGGATAGAGGGTGTCATTTTTCTCATACTGATATTCTGAACAATCTGTGCTGTTGTATTTGCTGTAAAGTGTCTCTACTGTAGGCTATTTTTATTTTATGTACAGCACTTTGGCTCGACCAAAAATCGTTTATAAATGTGCTATATAAATAAAACTTGATTTGATTTAATTCTATAAAAATATACTGTATATGGAAAGCATATGATAGAAATATGAAATTATAGGAGCACAGTGAGATAGACAAGGATGCTAGGTGACCAGGGATTAATCTGTGTCTCTCTGGCTGTTGTAATGAGCCGTCAGGATAATTGGCATACTGAAAAACTCCATTTAATGAAGTGAGACTTTCAAGAAACATCAAATGAGAATGAAAGTGTAAAAAGGTTGGAGGGATGTGGCAGTCGGGAGAGATAATGCAGAGAACATTTTCCAGTTTTTCTCCACAATCCTCTATTGACGTCTGGTTGAATTTTGAATGAGTCATCAGCTGATCAGTGCTCGAGGTTATGGCCTTAAAGGTGGACCCCTGACCAATGTCCAGCATTTAGTGCACTGATTGACAGTGGGAGACACCACTGCTCTAGGCAAGGCTCTTTTAATCGGGGAACACGATAGAATAACAGTGCTCATCCAAAATGGCGCTGCAGTATCCTCAGGCACACTACTGCGAGAATGAGATATGACAAGGAACGTCATTATCCCAAGTGCCGCCACATCCATCCCTAAAAATAACATGGGCTGTGTGCCTGATTGGCAGCCAGAGAGTGTTAATGAATAACAATATGATGTAGGGAGAAAGTAAAGGACGCTATCGGCCAAGAGAACGACAGCTGTATGGCATTCTCCTTAATTAAGAGAGGGAACGTAGTTACTGAGGAGTGAAACCAGAGAGGCAGTGGAATGAAGGCAAATGAAGCAGGGAGGGGGGTTTAGATTAGTGGGACAGAGTTTGGGTAAAGAAGAACAGTAAAAAAAGAAGTGAGGATAAACGGTGGGACGATAAGAAAAAGTTGGAAGAAAGAACAATTTGTGGGTCATTCTTGATAGTTAAGAGACATCATTGTCCAGTTAATGAGTGCAGAAACCACGGCAATTAATCCTCAGGCTCAAGTGACAACCACATGCATATACTGTCCACACACACATGCTACATATATGTACTCAAACAGGAGAGCACTTGTACTTTACATAATTCCATCTATGTCGTACATGTGTTTCCTCTCTTTTCTCACTCACCTTGCTCTCACTTGATCTTTTGTCTTTCCCACATAATACACGTTGCATCACGTTATATTTCTTTACAGAGGAAAAAGGAGACCAAGGCTGGGCTGAGAGAAAAGAAAAAAGAGAATCATGAGGGGGGAGGTATAGTGCTGACATAAGAAGAGTGCAAAAAGAGATTGATGATCTCAGGGCCAGTGGGAAAAAGGGATAGAAGAGACAGAGGAATACTTGCCAATAAATTACTCCTGAGCAGAAAGGGCAGGGTGTGCGTATATGTGTGTGTGTACTGTATGTTACTGTAATCCTTTGTGAGTGTGTTGTGTTGTGTGCGAGTATGCATGGCCAATTATGCATTTGTGTTTAAATGTGCATGAACATGTGGTACACACGCCTACTAAGCAAGCTGTGTGTGTGTGTGTGTGTGTGTGTGTGTGTGTGTGTGTGTGTGTGTGTGTGTGTGTGTGTGTGTGTGTGTGTGTGTGTGTGTGTGTGTGTGTGTGTGTGTGTGTGTGTGTGTGTGTGTGTGTGTGTGTGTGTGTGTGTGTGTGTGTGTGTGTGTGTGTGTGTGTGTGTGTGTGTGTGTGTGTGTGTGTGTGTGTGTGTGTGTGTGTGTGTGTGTGTGTGTGTGTGTGTGTGTGTGTGTGTGTGTGTGTGTGTGTGTACTGTATGTTACTGTAATCCTTTGTGAGTGTGTTGTGTTGTGTGCGAGTATGCATGGCCAATTATGCATTTGTGTTTAAATGTGCATGAACATGTGGTACACACGCCTACTAAGCAAGCTGTGTGTGTGTGTGTGTGTGTGTGTGTGTGTGTGTGTGTGTGTGTGTGTGTGTGTGTGTGTGTGTGTGTGTGTGTGTGTGTGTGTGTGTGTGTGTGTGTGTGTGTGTGTGTGTGTGTGTGTGTGTGTGTGTGTGTGTGTGTGTGTGTGTGTGTGTGTGTGTGTGTGTGTGTGTCCACATATGCTAGTGTGTGAGTGTGTCCTGAGACTACAATTGCATAGACTCGAACATTGTAGTCTTATAGAGTTGGTTTGATGAAGTGGCATGTTATTCATGTTTAAAGTGCTGATATACCCACACGAGCAAACTCACCCATTCACACCCACTCTTCCATCTCCCTTTTAGCTCTTGTCAGCCATTATTTTTGTCTTCAACAGCAATATGAACTTGTCTCCTTCTACCTCTCCACCTGCTATTGTGGCTCAGCCATTGATTCGGAGAATGTGTCAAGATCCAAGCTATTGTTCTGCATTGAATGAGGCAGTCCCTGCATGGCACTGCTCCATTGGGAATGCATCCGTCACACACAATGTCTCTGTCTCCCCTGCCATTGTACCATAGAAAATGTGTCAGTGATAAAGAATGTGTTCTAAATATTCCAATTGTCTCATAGATGAATGTCAGCTTGCCAGGTATGATTCTCTTCAGCCCTTGTTTTAAAGCATATCTTCCCCATTGTAAACGTCTTCTTTAACCCCCCCGCAGCTGGCATAGAAGCAACGTCATTTGTCCTTATCGCTTGTCAGAGGTTGAGATCGATTCAATTTTGCACACATGGTCAATTTGGGGGGAAGTAATTAGTAGCATTAGTCTTTGCTATCGAAATGGCATCGGCACCCAGTTCTTGATAAGCGTGTTTGAAACTAATTTCTCCTCCATTTCTTGTGTGTTGCATCCTATCCTCCTTTAAAACTCATTAACATCAACAACATCTTTGAGACGGACACTACCAGCAAAGAAAACTCAATATATATTCAACCACAGTAAAGCATGTGTCATGTTTTATAGACTGTAGTAACTCTGAAACCCTGCATCGCCTTTGTTGAAATGTCACTGCATGTTGTAGATAATAGCATTTGTGTATGTGTGTTATCCCATTCCCTGTCTGTCTGTAGATAATGTGTCAGTCACTACCACGGTCCCTCCCACTCCCACCACCCAACCAATCACCTCCCATCCCGTCACCCCAACCCTCCTTACACTCGTCTTCTCTTTTGACCCTAAAGGTAACACACACACACACACCTTTTGTTATTCTTCCTCTTCTACCCTCCATCTCTCTCCTCGACCTTCCCTGTTTCCCTTTGGTGTCTTTCACTCCCATACTCAACTATGTGATGACTCTCAGGTGCCTACACACACACACACACACACACACACACTTTTTCTCCTGCAACCTTCCTTTGCCCTGCATCTACATGAGCACACATGCCTGCAGACGCTTGGGTGTGAATCACGCACTCTCTCCCTCTGCCTTATCACTGACTCTTTGATGCGCCTCACACACATTGCCTAGTCAGCGTGTGTGTGTGTGTGTGTATGTGTAGTCTTGTGTGTGTGGTCTCTTGGTGCTTGGAGGGTACTGTTAATGAATCTGCATTAAGAGTTTAAGGAGCTGAAAGCGTCCGACACTGGCCTCTGGAGGGTCAGGGAGATGCTACATAAACTGCATAGACACACACACACACACACACACACACACACACACACACACACACACACACACACACATACAATTAGCAAACACACATATACAGAAAGAAGAGAATATGAGAGAAAGAAAGATCAGGGATCAAGGTGTCTCTAATCGTGCTTTCCCTAATGATCATGTTTTACAGCAGGAGGAAGAGGCTGCTCGACACTCTGTTACTGTGTGTGTGTGTGTGTGTGTGTGTGTGTGTGTGTGTGTGTGTGTGTGTGTGTGTGTGTGTGTGTGTGTGTGTGTGTGTGTGTGTGTGTGTGTGTGTGTGTGTGTGTGTGTGTGTGTGTGTGTGTGTCTTTCCCTCCTTTTTCATAACCAGTATCTATTCATCTCAAACACTAACAAACTTCTTCTCCTTTCTTCTCATACCTTGGGCTGCTCTCTGTCTCCTCTCTGTTGCCTGAAAGGAGAGATGAATGGAGGCAGTGGCAGCATCCATCTTGTTCTTCTTCTGGTGCCGCCGTCTGTGGCAGGTTGAGGTTGTTCACCTGCTGGGCATATGTGTGGAGATGTCATACAGACTTGTAGGAAGAACAGCAGTTTGAGCCGTTTTCAGAGCGTTTAGTTCGATGCTGGTGTATCATCTCTGGGGCTCCTGGGAGAAACAAGCACTTTTGAATACTTCACTTCCTGTGGAGCGTTGGGCTGCGGCGGATTAAAAACAGGGTGGCGTGAGGTAAAGGTACAACGCTTGATTTCTTGCTCTTTCATCCCCTGTGAAATATTGCTGCTCTGATCCTATCACGGTGGAATCACACTTGTTCTGGGCCACCAATGTGATCAAACACACACTCACAAATACTTGATTCTACACATGCGCAGGAGTGTGATGCACCTTTTCACGGAGCTCCTTGAGACACTTGTCCGATAAATGCATGTGCAAGATCACACCATCTTTCCTTCAGCTGTCAGCTCCAATACCTCCATTTCCTTTCACTAACCCTCTCTGTCCTTTCTGATATTTATGTGTTAGCACAGTATTACTGATTCATGTTTTAATTCTGCTCTGTCAAGGTCCAAGAGCTGCATAAATAACGATGTGTCCTTGCCTACTTTTGGCCCCACCAGCTCTTACATTCAAAACATATTTTTTGAATTGTGAGCAAGAACAGACAAAGATTACCTGGACCAAACATTTATTTTCTTTCTGTGTGTCTGCACCCAGGCACTCCATCAATCACCTGCTTTTGTCCTTGTCAGAAAGTGCTCACTGGTGCCACGGTGCACAGACACATGCTTAGTGCTTCACTTTGATTCAAGATCTATATTAAGGCTGCGACTAACAGTTAATATATAGATTTTTTATCCACACATTTTATTAAATACTAAAAGAGTTATGACCACAATTTTAAAAGAATAGGAACAAAAAAAACAGAAATAATTTAGGATGCTGAAACCTGAACATATTCAGCATTACTGCTAGATGAATAATTCATCAGTGAAAAAGATTGCAAATTAGATGTTTCTGTCAGCTGACTAATTGCTTAATTGCTTATTTGTTTCAACACTCACCTCTTTTTTATATTATTCCTGCTTTTCTTGTAGTCCCTTAATTTATAGTTGGTGGTGTTAACATTAATATTCCTTCCCACATTATACTGTGAAATGCCCCATAATTTAGCTTGCCTTTTTGTTTTTCAAATATTTTAATCTCTCTCGTCTCATCCTGGGGTGTATACTCGGAGTATAAAAACACTCAAAGTCTCCCTCATTCAAAATGCATTGTGATCTTGACAGGCGCTTGGCTAGAGTGGGTTTTTAGAGGCTGAAATACTTTTCTATTCACCCTCCTCATTTCTCCACCTTTTTCTCACCCATTCTGACCGGTCGGTGTTCTGTGCAGTGGGGGGTGATGAAAGGTGATAAACCAAGCTGGATGGAGGATATTGACTTCAGTTTTGTCCTGTCTCGCTCCCTGTACCTTCTCCCACGCTGCCATTTTAAAGTGCTTTCTTTCTCTCACTTTTAAAAACAAATTTCCACCTACAACTCCTGCTTTCATTTTTCATCTATCCCTCCCTTTATCTCCGTTCCCTTGATTGCATTTCTCTTCCCTTTTGTCTCCATATTCCCTTTTATATTCCCTTACACTCCACCCACGCTCACTATTTGTTCTTTTTGTTCTTCCTCAGAACCCGGTGCAGTGGTAGAGACTCACAGTGCAGTACCATATGCAGTGATAGGGGGCGTTCTGGCACTGCTGGTTTTCACCGTCATCTGTGTCCTCATCGTCACCATCTGGTGCTCCGTTCGACAGAAAGGTAACACACTCATACACACACACACACACCAAGTAACAGAAGAGTTTCTTTCAAAAACAGGGCACACGTTTTTGCAACTTAAAGAGTTTTTGGACCTTTTCACTGACACATTACCCAAACAAGCTGTGAAAAACTCTTTACAGACCTTGTACCACCAGATTCCTTGAGAATAATGTTTTAAACTGAGGTGTAAAATAGTCGGAGCAAGGCAGACAGGATGGGATGCTCCTCTCCAGGCGGGCACTGTCCATGATGGACGACCTTGGCCAGGATAGTAGATAAGATGGGTGGGGTGGGAAATGTAGGTGTGGCCCCCATGTTTTATGACTATATGTTAGTGTATCAAGGCTCATCTATTAAAATCAGCCTTCCTGAGTTCCGTATCTTTTTAAGTGCCCTCTTGTTGGCAGCCTTCGTACACCCAGGCTGCCAAGAAATGATCTGAGAACAGCGTAGCAGGCAGCCACTGGCTATTACTTACCCTATGGCTAGACAGGCTGCCAGTCAACATTCAGTATGGCTTGACCGCCAATCAGCACACAGACAGGACCATTACAACCAAACCGTGTTGAGGCAGAGCCATTAGGGCTTTGTCTTCAGCCCGTTGTGACTGTCAGCATCCAGTCACCCTCTGCAGAGAGAGAATTAGAGTGTCACTCACCCCTGCAGTGAGGTGACACTGAAGCAGGAAGATGACTCGAGCAGCTTTGCTCTCTGTGTAACCTGTACTGCTCTGAATCATTAATCATACGGACCTGAGGGAAGTTAAAATGTGTTTGATGGCTTTCGTGAGTGACACAAATGTGCCATTGTTCTCTTGCACCTAACCTTCCCTCCACCCCGTTTCTGACAATCTCTTCTTCCTCCCTGTTTTCTATTCTCTACCATCTTCTCCTCCTCTTCCGCCTATTCTCTTCACACATCCCATCCCCTACCTCTCATTTCCGCGGGTAGGCTCGTACCGTACACGAGAGCCTATTCTTGCTTGGTATTGACCTAACAATCAGTTAACTAACGAATTAATCAGTCACAGGTATGGTACTCAATAATACATGTGCTAGTTGGTTTGATAATAATGCTGCATGACGCTGCAGTGATCATGACGCTTTGCCGCCTAACCTCCCCCCTAAAATCTCCCTCTTGGTCTCTCTCTCTCTGTCTCTCTTCATCCAGGTTCCTATCTTACCCATGAGGCCAGTGGGTTGGATGAACATGGTGAGGTGCAGGAAGCTTTCCTCAATGGGAACGACGCCAGCCAGGGCAAGAAGGAGTACCTACTGTAGCCCCTATCCCCTTCTCTTCTGACCTCAATCCCCCTTATCCCTTCCCTACCCTGTGTACCATCTTATATACAGTATACACACACACACACACACACTTCAATACAAGCGCCATTACAGGCAGCCTTTTGAAAACGACTGTATACAGATACTGCACACAGCCAATACATCCTGCTTCATTCTACTCCACAGCCTCCATGCACACACACCCAGAGGCAGACTGAGAAAAAGAGAGCCTATACACCCAGCAGCCACTAACGACTGTGCCATATACTGTAAGTCGGAGATACTAGGGAGAATGGAGAGAGCGGGGCCGGGGTGAATGTAGACAATAACGAAATGATGCCGTTATTATTTTTGATCAAGGTGGAAGTGGGGAGCACAAAGAAAACAGGCACTCTGCCAGTGCAGCCGCCAAAAGTGGAAGGGGAATTAGAGGCAGATGACTGCTATAATTCCATGCCTGGAAGACCATTTATTTCACAAAGCTCAATCTTTAACTGATGGGGACAGGGGGAGCAGTATGTGGGGAGGGAGGGGGAAATGAGGAGGGGTTGACCAGAAGCTATCGAGCGATACACGGTAGAAAATTGAATTTTTTTTAAATTGTCAGAACATCTTTCCAACAGAGTGCAACTCGTATATAATTCCCTACCAACACTGGAGTGTTTAAGCCCAGAGTCCCAGGAAGTATCCAGAGTTTTGACGAAACTTACTCCCTACCCAATCATTGGTATAAAAGGAACCCTATTTTAAAGGTGGTTCTAATTTAATTAACTCTCCTCCTTCCTCTACATTCACCTGTTACAGTCCTCTCCCCCGCTCCATTATATCTCGCTTTTTTCTCCGTCTGCCCCCCCCCCCCCCCCCCCCCCCCCCCCCACAATCGCTCCTCCTTTGTTGGCTCCTAATAATGTAAGGATTAGTGTGGGCTGAACATTAAAGAAAGGCTTAATTATTTTAGAATGTCATTAAGAGGATAGAAAGGTTTAAAAGTCTTGATAAGAAGGGCAAGGGGGAGTGAAGGAATGAGAACAAAAAAACGGATGGATATTTTTTCTGAATGCTACCACACATATGCAGATACATGCACTCATTCATGCGTACAGTAAACATGTTGACAGAACCAGTATACATATCTCTGAAGTACGTATTTGTATAAAAAAAGAACATCTACATAAATTAAATGAAACTTTTAAGAAAAAAAAATCTGTTTACTATTGAAACGCATTATGAAGCATCTATACTAACACAGAATATTAGCCTATAGAGGTGCAAAGCCGAACAAACCACTGTCCAGTGATCTTTAAAGAAAATAAAGAAAAGAATAAAAAAAAATATCATTGTCTTTATGAGAAACCAGAGGTCTTATCGATTTTTTAATTATTATTATTATTTGAACAATTATGATTGTTGTTAATGTTATTATTGCCGTTGTTATTATTATAATTGTAAATGTTAAAGAAATGTACACTTCCCATGGTTTGTTTTTGGTTCTACTGTAGAGAAATTGCTGTCTTTTACCTTTCCCCTCTTTCCCTTTCTCTCTCTTCGTCTCCTGTGCCTAGTCGTCTCTTCTCCTGTCTTTCACTACTGTTTACTTTAGAGTCCATGTGTCATTGTTGATATATAGCTAACTATTTCTTTATAGGGGAAAGATACAAAGCACGACAAAATAAAAAAGAATTCAAAAATAACCTTTGGGATTAGACTGTTTTTGTGTGTGCTTACTGTGTAATTAGCAGGTGCTGTTTTGAAATCCTAAGAAGGGAGAACAGGAGATGAAGCATATGATGAGATCAATGGGGAATAGTGGAGTTATAGGTGGGAAGATGAAGATGAAGGCGATGGAGCTATAACTGGCAGCTCATTCGGAAATAAACAAAATAGTGGATTCTGTGGCACCGCTAATGAATCATAAGAACAGATAGCGGGGAATAAAGGGTGACAGGAGGTTTGAGTCAGATACACACCAAAAAATATGACTCTGTCATTATCTTCCACACAATCAATACCCGATTCTGTCGAGAAGCACTCAACATGTCCATGTGTGCGCGGGGCTATATTTGAAAGCTGCCGGAGGTCGCAGGGTGATAGATCGATGTGTTTCTCTTCCATCGATGGCAAGGCTGCACGGCCTGTCACAAAGACAGATTGTCAAACGGCAATCAAAGTAATGGACTTGCCAGGCGCTACAAGCATGAGTTGACACTCCGGCCAACAAACAATTCACACACAAGTCGACACCAAACATATCTTCAGTTTATGATGACGCAGGCGTAGCAAAGGTGCTATCACACCAAACATGGTCGATGAGTAATAAAACTGAGAACATTGTCCTCGGTATAAGTGTCCTTCAAGGTTTCATCTCTTATTGTTATATTTTCCTCACAAGAAAATCAATCAAGCTTTGGTATTTGTGTTTTTAGATTTTCAGTCACCTTTAGTTTCACTGTATTATCGTTGGGTGGAGGCTAATGCTGGTAATATTTACTCTGGGTTATCCTGGGAGTAGGGCCATTATCTAGACCTAATGGTAATCAGACCACCACTGTGATCATGAAGGTGTTATCATCTAATCAATAGACATAAGAAAACATTAAGCTGGATAACAGATGGTTGTTTTACTCCCACAGTTTACAATATGCTGTGAACGTAGCATCATTTGGCTGGTAATAACAGCGAGGAGTCTATGAATAACTCATGCGACCGCTGCCTGATGCTATAGTTTCACATTAGCGCCCTGAAACGGGTTCATGTCGGATCATTTGCTGTTTATGACACATTTTTGACAGACATATTTCCCTTCAAGATGTCACAGTCCATCCAAACAAAAACTCTTCATATTTCTGTTGGCTATGGTGGATTAGACACACTTTTATCCATCTGTAAAACCAATACGGGTGACTGTAGGTTGGTGAATGCAGCTTATGTTCACTGGTCTTGTCATTGTGACCCGAGCGAGGCAAGGAGTTGTGTACAGAGCGGCAGCATAGCATGAGGCATTGATTGAGGTGCCTGAGTGTGCCGAGGCTGAGCATAATCAGGAGGCAGAGAGCTTTCAGGCAGACGGAACAATTCAATGGGCTGCCGCGCCAGGAAAACTAAGGAAAATCCCCCCCCCCCCACATCTGAACCTCCGCACCCTTTTACCAGATTTCTCCATCAATAATGTGTTCTAGTACACAGAGTACATGAGGAGGAGTATAAAAGCAGAGAAAGACATAATGAGTTAGACATAAATGGACAAAAAGATACAAGAAATGTGGAAAGAGAAGGAAAATAATGGTGAAAATGGCAAAACAACCTATCTAAACCCTGAGAGGACGTGGTGAATGTAATGTTGGTTCATTGCCGAAAGAGATATATTACTCCCTTTTTTTTAACAGCGACGCGGTTCAAGATGAACAATTCAATTAGATTGAGTAAGGACCTTTTTATTACATGAGTGCATCGCATTGTATTTACAAGTTTAATCAGAACAGGTATGGAGATTGTGTCATAACCAGGTTAATGATGTTTTCCCTATAGGCTGCGTCCTCTCTGGACCTCATATTATGATTGTTTAATTAAACGCTGTCACTCATATATCTATATTACTGGTGGTGGGCTTATCAGAGACTTAGAACAAGCTTAGAATAAGACCCATAGGAGGCGCAGTCGAAGAAAACAGACATCTGTGATCAGGATAGTCTGGAGACTTACTTTTCTCACTGACATTTGGTGCGGGACCTGATAATTAACTGGTCTTTTCATTTGCGAGTAATTCACATGCATAAGGTTGCTGATTAGTTAACATGACAGGACAACAACAAACAGGATCATGCTATATTTATTCTCTTTAAACCCCCAAGCTGCTTGTTGCCAAACAAGCTTTGCCTCAAGCAAACAGAACATGGAAGGAACAGTGTTTTAATGAACTGCTTGAAGAAACGACAAATATTTACATAAAAAACAGCACAAGTCTTACATTTCCTCAATAATTCAGACCTCTGGGCACACTTTTGCTTTTATGGAGTGTTTGGCTGAAGACCACGGAGCTGCCTGCACTGCCTCACACAGGGCCATGCGGACAGATTTCCCTCTGGACAGGGTTACTGGAGGTGGAAGGTGGGCAACAGAAAGAGGGAAGGATGCCCGTTCTCTCTGTTTCTTTGGAGGAGTGAAGAGGATCTGAGGCACAAGGCTGTACAGCTGGAAGAGAAACATGGCAACTGCATGAACCCAGGCAGGAAGATTGGTACTGGGGGTGAAAAGCACAAGGGCATGAATGATGTGGAGTGGCAGGCACAGCAGAACTAAAAGGGAGAGGGATAGAGCAAGGGAGCGGACCCGGCCGGAGTCATGTTTAGGCGGATATGCATGACTAAAAGGAGTCTTTCTAGGTTTAATGCATAACAGGTCAAGGTAAATGACCAGCAGGCAAAGCAAGGGGAGCATGAACACTGTCATCCCATGGACATAGACCAGGTAACGGGGACTGAGAATGGTGTCAGGCGCGCACACCCCCCAGTGGCTGCTGTGGATCTCAGCGTAGGTGAAGTTCTGCATGTCTTCCACATAAAACTTTGACAGGAAGCCTCCGTATGGAAGGTACTTTCCAATGACCTTGTGATCTTGGTGGTACTTAGGGGGCGGGGAAGGGGTTAAATGGGGTAAAGAGGTCGTCCAATTGCCATCCAGCCCGAGGCCAGCCGTGCCCGGACCCCTCCCGCTACGCCTCCAATTGTCGATGATGTCCGATCCGATGAACTGGGCGAAGGAGGACAGAACCGAGGCCACCCAGCACAGCAGGACCACACACAGAGCTCGCTGACGGGTCATCACTGAAGAGTACCTGGAAGTCATAAACATGTGGGTTTGGACATATTTGAATGCTGAATGGTTATTTAACCTTATTCGTTTTGCTCAATTTCTGAATCCTAATGGGATCATGATAATGTTTTTTAGTCCAGCTGTGCCAAGATTGTCTGGTATTGATGGCTTCACCTAATACATGAAAAAAGGTATTTCTTAAGGCATTTAATAGTCTCTGACTCTAGATAAGTGAGTTGAACGGTAAATGCTACAAAACTGCTCCATCCCAAATCTCCTTTTAACCAAATCGCACACATTGATGCAATTCTCTGTGATCTTCTTTTGATAACTAATGTTTTTTTTAACTACCATTTACTGAGCCTGCCCTGAATCTGTATGCAGCCCCCTGGGCAGACATGCCTTACACTTTGAAAATCTCTGTCCTAATCTGAACAGAAATAGTTTTTACAGTAGCGCGCTACTGCCTCCATATTCATCGCTCAATGACACCAAAAATACAAAAAGGCACCGGAATGAGGTGTACAAAATGTAATCTTACTCATACCAACTGGGTGAGTGGATGGTTCAAAACAGTCCAAGACCATGAAAGAAAAAAAATACTGGCTCTTTTCCACTGAAAGGCTGGAGCTGTGGTCACTGTCAATCAAGAATCTAAGAGCCTCTGAGCCTATTGATATTTACTCGCCCCTGTGACTCCCAGATGGCAGTAAAAGCAGTGCATGATAATAAAAAAGCAGCCTTATGAGCACTGAACAAACAGAATACTTGAATGCAATACAATAGCACATATTGCAATGTTTGCTACTCCTTTTTTGCAACATCCATATTGATTTCCCTCATTTACAGCTGAAAGCATGCTTGAGAAGTGTTCACCCTTGCCTCCCACATATACACTCTCACCCACACATACAATAAACTATTACAGACATTATTGTGATTTACAGAATGTGATGCTTATATTTCCGAGAAAGAATATGTAAGGTGTCTTATTGGAATTGATTTGTACATTGTACAAAGCATTTTAATACTACTCTTTACATCACACTGATTTGATTCCTTTACTATTAATGTAATCCTCTTCTAGTCTCACCTTTCTGCTAAGTGATGCTGCAGGTGTGCGTCCAGTGTGAGCATCATCAACAGGAACATGGTGAACTGCCTCACCAGCAGGGGGCAGCACACCAGGGTTATGCATGTGTACAGACACTGTGGCGTTCTCAGGTTGAGCAACACACTCACGGGGACCCCCACTGCACCACCAAGAGCCCCTACCCAGCCCAGGCAGAGACAAAGACAGCATGAGACGCTCCCAGGTTTGGGCCTGTTTGCCTGGGTTCCCTCCTGGACGTCAGCCACTGTTCCACCTCCACTGACCGCCATGCACAACCTCACACTCACCACTATCAGGGATACATACAGGATGCACTGACACACGGAGTACAGCCACAGGAGGTCCATGTCTGCAGGAGATACACACAGAGATGATAAAGCCAAAGGGTACAGCTTAAAAATTCCTTATTTATAATGATGTCAAAGGGCAAAAATTAAGACGATTCTAATGGATGCTTGTGCTTCATTCCACCCACTCTAGTTGCCAGTCCTGCCCTCACATTGCTCGTGCTCCTGCAGTGTTAACTTGCATTGTGAAAGGAATGGTCTAACTTAGAGATAGACAAAGAATAGAGGGAATACAAATGAGAAAATGGTGACAAGTGGTGGTGGAAATGTTGAGGTTAAGCATAGGTCAGAATAATAAAAACAATCCACATGATGGAGGTTTATGCTAGTGGCAGAGAGATGCACAGGGTGAGAGTAGATATTTTGATAGGTATTGGAGAGCTGTAAACGTGCCTGGAGAGTGAAAAGGGCAGCCGGACCA